TGAATCTACACTTTATGATTATCATATCAGACAACAAATGATGAATTATGAAATTTCACGTGTACATTCCAGTCAATATATGATGATGAAAACAATTTTGTTAAATACTCTTCTGAAAGCCTATGGTGACACGGCAAAAATGGCTCATTCAGTTGAAGGACGTTTAGCGTTCCTTGATCACTACTTGGTTGATTACGCGAACCGTTTACCAACGAAAATGAAATTGAAGCTGGAAAATGGTTCGATTGTTGAAAAATATATTTTGAAAGAAGTGGCGCGGCCATATATTACGGAACAAGTTTATCGAAGAGAGAAACATCCGTTTGCTTCACCACCATCTTTACTCAATCCAAAGTCGAAAATTTATCAATACATTCAGGATACATTCAATTCAAAAGATGTGAATCAATTGAAAGGTCTTTTCGACATCGAAAGATTACGTGAAAAATTGAATAATTTACATAAAAATCAAGAATCAATGAATAAACAATATCTATGGGGAGAATTAGCAATTATGGAGGGACGTTATTTGATGATTTGCAGTTGCTTAGCATTAGCTAAACGCTTTAATGTTAAATACACTTAGACATAATATCTCAATTCGTTGTAAATTTTTGTGTAAATATGGATGTAGTTTGTTGTCTTGTGTAATAATAAGAAATATATGGCGATGTTGGTTCTTTTATCGACCTTTTTCTAAATTTTCACAGATGGTTTCTATTTGGACAAAAGACGTCGTACGTGTTATTCGCTTTCAACATTACCTGACTGGAAAAAAAATCAACGAGTTTTGTGTTTCTTTTCTTTATCTTACGTCAAAGTGTGCACAACTTGTCATTCTCGTTCTCTATGCTCTCTCGAAAAATCCCCAGTAGTGCCCTATATCTAGCCAATAAATTTCTTTGTCTACAGCATTTTGCAAATCACTACATTACCCATCCAACTTCCAACACAAATCGATTATGACCTACGATACTGGTATATTCGTATTTAATCGAATAACAGACGAGAACAAATGGAAATTATTTTTGCAAGCGGTTTATGCGTATTTTTTGGAGCATCAAACGGACAGCATGCGTATGGTGGTGAATAGGAACGATACTACTGGTGAATTTCTGCCAATAGTTACAAAATATCATCCACTTGTTACCGATATGAAATTAATTCATTTAACCGACCAGTTCAATTTTATCAAAGGCGATACGGATGATTCGTTTTCTGCTACTTGGCGTACAAATTTAGCGAAGAAACTTTACGGGAAAGCGTGTTATGCTTTGACTGAAGAAGAAAAATCGATTGTCTACGACAAGAGCTTGAAAAAAGTGCGAGGATTGGCAGAGCAGATGAACTATTCTTTATCAGAAGATGAACTACAAAGATTAATTGGAATGAGCGACGTATCGCATTCAGAGGCTGCTTCCATTGAACCACCTATTGCGATTGCGATCGAAGATATTACTTTGCCACTCTATGCCCATCATTTCAAAAAGGCTTGGGCACAAGTTTGGCATCCAATGTGCTCAGAATTTGTTATCAAAATATTTCGTAAATTATTGAAGAGATATTTTCCTGAAGAACTACACTATTGTTACTTTAATGAACTCAACTATCTGAATGATCCGGACGAACCAGAAACAGGTTATTACTCATCGGATTCAAAGTACCGTCAGCACACTACGAACGAATCCAGAGAAGAAAATAACATCTTCTATCGACAAATACAAGGCATAACAATCGAAAATACCGAGCCGTAAGCGTTATTTTTTCGTAGTGGTGGAAAAGGTTTTGACGAGGATGAACTTTACCTTTGTAGGACAACGGTAATGGTAGCGGAAGCAGATATTTTGAAACCTTCAACGCAAACACAAACAGGTACGCAAGCAAGTAACATATACTATCTTTCTATGTTCTTATCATAATTTCAGACGAAACACCAGCGTGGCAAAAGTATCTGGAAGTTGTATCAATTGAAAACAAAGGAAGAGGATATCGAGCACGCTGCAATATACCAGCGATGACATGTATCATGCATGATACACCACTTGTGACTTCTTCGTCTCCGTTCACTGGTTTTAGAGCGCATAACGAAGGGTATTCACTTCACGCTGCTGAGCCACTGGTATTACAAGTGCTTGAAAATAAAGAATATTTTGATTTATTGTCACCACAACAACCCTCAGGACGGTTTGCCCGAGAAACGTCACCTTATCCTTCTCTTTATTCACATGAAATGTGGCAACTAGCTCACGAAAAGGTGGCGACGAATGTGTTTCGAGGAGAAGCAGTAGATTCAACCATGCTGAATCGAAAATACTTACTGAAACTTGGTGTTAGAACATCCTTGTTCAATCATAGTTGTTGTCCCAGCGCAACTATCAGCAAAATTTCCGGCACAACTAAGCAAAAAGTTGAGACTGTACGAGATGTCACTGAAGGTGATTTGAAAGAATAATTTTTAGTACTACTCATTATCCTACTCTTTTTCATTTATCAGGAGACGAGATATGCATATCATATCTATCCGATGGATATCTGCCTCGAGACGAACGTCAGCGAATTTTGTCGGCGCGTGGATTTACCTGTCGTTGTGAACGTTGTTCACCCGAGTCGACCTTTGATCGAGACGTTCCATTAACTGCAGATATCAGTTTACTGCCATTATCAAATGAAAAAATTGCTCCTCTACGTCGACGTTATGATCAACTAGTGGCTGACCTTCAATCGATGCTTGGCTTCAGCACACCTCAGTCATGTTCACTGTGGATAATGCGGGCTGAACGATGGTTAGTTGATGCTAGTAAACCACCTTATCAACTACATCAGTTTCATTGGTTATCCGTGCATTTGTATAAAATGCTACGCGATCGGTATAAAACCATGTATGTCAGCAACGCTGGTAATCGTAAGGACATGCGAAAGAAAACTCTATACTATGGAAAACTGATCATTCGTGCTGAGTTTGCAGTACTGCAGCCACTTGATCCTCATAAACAGGCAGTGGATGCGTTTTTGGACGATTGGAATGATATGGGCATGCCAAAAAATGGCGCATGGAAATTGCTGAAAGAGCTTGAACCAAGTGCCGAAATTATCATTAAAAGCCTAAACGAATAGTATACTTTTGATTCTGATCTTATCCTTGTCAGAATTAACTTGGTTACAATACGAACATTTTTGTGTACGTTAGCATATGTGATATCGATAAATTTCTATCTATTGTCGAAATATTCAAGATCACACAAAGAATACTATTTCAGCTGAGATTAATGACTAAGCGCGTCATTAGACATGCATACACGAGAGAAATCATTCTATTTCTTTTATCTTAATAATGACTACGTTAATACATTTATAAAGTGTGAGCATTATCAAAATGAAACTTTTCTTAAGCGACAAAGTTTCCGTATTGCCATACACCTGTTCGTTTGATTTTACCGTTATAATATTAAGTGCCGTTTTCATAGCGATCGCCATCAACAAAATAGAGCACACCCATCCCTATACGTTCATTATTTAGCCGAGCTTCGACATATTTGTTTTTTCCGTTAGACCAGACGTACGTCCCACGTCCTTCTCGTTTGCCGAACCGATAGTCTCCAAAGTATTTATCGTCACTGGTCTACTCCCACGATCTATTTCCGTGCATTTTGCCATTGGCAAATGTGTCACCTTTCTCGTCAACATTTGCTTATTTAAAAATGCCGTCGTCTGTGCGCGGACCATTCATCCACTGACCAATCTAGCTGCCATCATTGTCTTAGATTTCTCGGTGAATTTTCTTCTCAGCACAAAATTTCACTACTTCTGTTTTTGAGCTAGTAGTCAACCTTTTTATACAACCGAATCAGAAGTAAATAATGTTGAATGGTCTTTTTAATCTGTTTTTTTTTCTTTCTTGGAAATTCTCCATCGTATGAAAATAAATATAATAACTGTTTTTTGACGAAATACGCCGAGAATATGTTCGGAAGTTCATTCTGCGGTTGGGATTTTATAACATGCGTGAAAATACTTGAGAGCAAAATCGATAGGTAACACGGAGGATACCTTCGGGCAGAATTCGACATTTTCTTGTGCGGATTCGTTTCAGCGTAGATTTCAATCAAACCAACATTGGTTCGAAGTACAACTTGATGAGTTCTATTGGTTCCAATCATAAAAAATTTTCATCCTCACTCGTTTCCTTCTTCTTTTGTCAGGTTTTGAGTGGATTAATGCAAACACAACCTCGAGCGCATATTCTCCGAAAACATTCCTTCCTACCACTTCTATTTTCGATCGCTATTACTCAAACAGACGAACATTTGCATCATTCATCAACGTTCTCCACTAGTCTCTAAAATTTCCCTAAATTCTTTTTCTAAACGATGTTTTATCTTAGTCACACTCAAATTAAAAAGTTATCATACACCAGTGTAAGATGCTCAACTAAGGAATACCTGAAAAGAGCTCCATGCGCGATTAAAGCGTGAGCATCTATGTATTTTTGTTGCAATCAAGCACATGTTCGCAAACAAGAAGACAAAACGCCAAATAGTCAATTGAATGGACATATCCGAAGTCTTCACCTGGCCGACCTGATCCTTGAAAAAGTTGAGTATTGGTGTGAAATATACCACTGGAGAATTCCGTTCTTAAAATTCGAGAAGTTGATGATTCAATTGTAAGTTTTCTTTATAATCAAAAGAAAAATTCAATAACTAAACCAGTGGCTTTTTCGGTAGCTTATGATTGTTGTTCGACTATGATCCCCCCGGAAACATATACATCAAATGTGTTTTTCGATTTATTAATCAGAGTATCCCTGTATTTCTCTTTCATTTGGTATTTCTATGGATTCAGATGCAGAAAAGAAGTGTCTATATAGGAAGAAAATTTTGCCCTTTTATATATAAAGTTTCAACCTAGAGCCTATTTCGACACTGCTCTGACAAGCAATTTTGTTAAGCATCACTTGATACTTACGTTACAAACATAGCGAAATCTCAACTTGATGGTAAATGGACAACAAAACAACAACGATTTCAAACGAGCCAAATGAATACAAGCGCATAAACACTGAACAAATGCAAGATGTAATCGTGGTCTGGCTAGATACTCATACAGTTATTCCATACTATCAGAATGCGATGACGCAACTCCAACACATCGCCAATGACATTCATACGTTCACTGATAATGATCAGTGCGTCGAGTTCATCATCGACAGCATTGACTCAAAAGTGTGTCTCATCATTTCAGCAGCGGTCGAACAACATGTTGTGCCATGCATACATGACATCGCAAATATCGACTTCATTTTCATATTCTCTGACGATCCGGATCTAGGAGAACACTGCACTAAAAAGTGGTCCAAGGTGAAGGGTGTTTTTACAGACATTGAAATTATTAGTCAACAGTTAGGAAGAATTATTCGTCAATATGACTTCAATGCCATTCCGATGAGTTTTGTACCATCTGGTAAAAGATTGGATCAACTCGATCCATCATTTATGTACACACAAATCATCAAAGAAGTACTGTTAACCATCAAGTTTGAAGACAAGCACAGAAAAGAATTCGTGAATTATTATTGTGATAGATTCGTTGACAATGAAACCTATCGAATGAAAGTGAAACAATTGGAAGATAGATATGATAAGAAAACGCCTATTTGGTGGTACACAACAGAGAGATTCGTCTTTGGCACATTGAACCGTGCATTGCGAGTGATGGATGGTGAAGTGATCACATTGATGGGATTTTTTGTCGCTGATCTACACCGACAAATTGATCAACTACACAAAGAACAATATAGAGATGTCTTGTCTGCCAATAGCTTTACAGTGTATCGTGGTCAAGGTCTGACAAGGAAAGATTTCAACAAAATCGTGGCGGCTAAGGGTGGATTGATGTCGTTCAATAACTTCTTATCTACCAGTTTAAAGCGTGATGTATCCTCAATGTTCCTTCCAACTGGTGTAGAGAACCATGATGTAGTAAGTGTTCGTTTTGTAATGACAGTTGATCCAAAACAATCGACAACACCTTTTGCTTCGGTTGGTCGCATCAGTCAGTTTCCACTAGAAAAAGAAATTCTGTTTTCGATGCACAGCATCTTTCGCATCAATGATGTCAAGTTAATGGAGGGAAATGAACAGTTGTACGAAGTGAATTTGTCGTTGACTAGTGACACGGATGAAGAATTGAGCGTGCTTACTAAGCAAATCCGGGAAGAAAGTTTTCCAAATATAGAAGGATGGTTTCGATTAAGTCTTATACTGTCCAAGATGGCACAAACAGATATTGCTGAGCGAATCTGTAAAGCTCGAATCAATGAAAGCACATGTGAAGATCCCACAGAAAATATCTATAATCAACTGGGTGTGATTAAATCACAGCAAGGACAATATGAAGAGGCTATGGTACTCTTTAAGATATCTCTTATGTTTTGCCTTCGATCACTTCCTTCAAGTCATCCTTATGTAGCTTCATCCTGCAGCAACATCGGTGCGCTGTATCTGAGCATGAATGATTATACAAATGCACTTTCATTCTTTGAGCAAGCTCTCAAAATTCAACTGAAGTCGCTTCCTTCCAATCATCCTGATGTGGCTACATCCTATAACAACATTGGCGCAGTGTATGCCAGTATGGGTGATTATTCCAAAGCACTCCCATTCTATGAGCAAGCTCTGAAAATTCAACGGGAATCATTTCCCGCGAATCATCCCGAAATGGCTGGATCCTACAACAACATCGGCATTGTGAATCTCAAAGTGGATAATTATACAAATGCACTTTCATTCTTTAAGCAAGCTCTTAAAATTCAACAACAGTCACTTCCTGCGAATCATCCTGATGTCGCTTCATCGCACAACAATATTGGCAATGCATACGTCAAAGCGGGTGATTATGAAAAGGCACTCGCCTCCTTTGGCCAAGCTCTCAACATTTGGCAGCAATCTCTTGGTTCCAATCATTCTGATGTGGCTTCATGTCACAATAACATCGGTTTGGTATATTCGAACATGGGTAATTATTTGGATGCACTTTTATCCCATCAAGATGCTCTCAAAATTCGGCAGCAGTTACGTCCTCCGAATCACCGTGATGTAATTACATCGTACAGCAATATCGGCGGTGTACATTGTGACACGAGTAATTATCCGGAAGCACTTTCATCTTATCAACAAGCGCTCGAAATTCAACTGAAGTCGCTTCCTTCCAATCATCCTGATGTGGCTACATCCTATAGCAACATTGGCGCAGTGTATGACAGTATGGGTGACTATCCTAAAGCGCTTTCATTATGTGAACAAGCTCTTACAATCCAACAACAATCGCTTCCCGCTAATCATCCTGACATCGCCACATCCTACAGCATCATCGGTATAATTTATTTCAAAATGGATCAATATTCGAATGCCATTTCCTGCTGCAAATACGCCCTCCAAGTGGCAGAGCAAGCGCTACCACCAGAACATCCTAACCTTCAACATTACAAGAAACTCTTTGAAGATATGCAAGCTACAACTCATCGTTCTATTCCCTCATGAAAAAGATAAATTTACGTGTGCATTAAGAAAAACATTTGCCTCTTATTTTGACCTAATTCAGAGTACTAATCACGGATGTACTAAATAAAGTAAAATCCCATAAACTTGTACTTTGAAGAAACAATCCAACACTGGTATTGCAAATCTCAGTAGTATAACGACATTTTTTCAGAAAACGATGGGAAAAATAATAGTGAAAATCGTTCGATAATCAACATTCGGAATACTTATCTGCAACCGTTAGTTTATTTCGAAGAGTCCTCCTTACCCTTTACTGCATTCGCATTTACAAATAATCAAATCACAACACTGATGATGTAATCACATACTTCACTTTTCTTCGATCAAGGATGTCAGTGTTACTAGACATTGCATCATGCATTGTTTTTGACCAAAATTGCACAAAAACTTTATCGCTCCCGAGTGGATTTGAACCACCTGTCCTCCGACTAACAATCGGCTGCGTTTACCACTTACGCCACAGGAGCACATCAATTTATATTAAGAAGAGTATTATATTTTGTAAAAAGGACATTATTGTGAATTTACATAGCGGAGAAATCTCGAGAGCATGTACAAAAGCAAAAGAACTACGAAGACATATCAGTCTGTAGTGTTTTTTACTCTATTTTATTTGGTAGTCAATGGTATGGAGTCCAGTGGAATTCGTTTGACATATCTAAGGTAGTCGGATGTCGTCTTATATTACGGGGTATTTTGTGTTCTTTCGTTGTTTTGTGTTCTTTAGGTTTTTCCTGTTCGTTTTCTGTCTCCTTCGATTCTGAATCGTATTTATCAACGATGTTGCATTTCAGCTTTTTAAGTATCACGAGAATGATTGGCAGAATAAATAGTTTCATGACCAAGAATAAGAGACCAAACATTTCCAGACAAACAATGAGAAACACAATATTGTGGAAGATAATTTCATTTAGTTTAGCAATCGGGCTTTGCCGGTTAACGACATAGTAAGGTGTTTCGCTAAGGACAAGTGAGACAGACGTTTCCGAAATGGTTTGCACTGCATAATCCGTTATGCTGATGAGCATTTGATCAAGATTGACGAGAAAGGTTGGAATAAACAGTCCAGAATATTCACTTTCATGTGCGTCATCGATTGGTTNGAATACGAAGGTTGATGGTATATTTAGTGATGACACACGCTTGTTGATCAAATTAGTCATTGATCTTGCTTTGTTTTCTGAAGCAATTGGGGATGATCATGCTGAAAATGATAATGATGAAGTTTATATTCGAAGGAACTACGATCGTGCACTTAGTTTATGTGCACTCGCGAAAAGTTTATAGATGAAATAGTGGCTGTAAGCCTGTAGACTAGATGATAGCTATTAATTTAATGAAAGCATATTTTTAAAGTGTTATTTTTATCGTGGTGAATATTTCTACGAATAAATATCTCTTTTTCTATTTGTAGATTAATATAATATCAAATACCTCTAATATACATGGAATCCTCGAAAATTCTCTTGGTGTGGACAAGCCCAATATCAGATGTAGTAGCAGAGCTATTCACCAATGTATCTGTGAAACTGTCTGAATTGATTGACTGTATTACAAACAGTATAATAGCAACAGATTTATTTCATCTAATAATTCCGTTAGATTCTTTGCAAAAATTAATCGAAGATCCAGTCTATCACTTCCCCCAAATACAGTATATTGATGTTTATTTCGATGATTTGGATGATCCATTTGTGAAGCAATTCTGTCTTCTCGTTCAACATGATCATCGAATCAAATTTCATTCTATACAAGATCTACCTCAACGCGTGTGTAAAATCATCTGCGACAATGCTGTAGCAGCAATATCTGATTCATTATGCAGAGAAATCGTTTATGCTTTGTCTTCATCTATCGAAAACCGTATTGCTGCTAAAAGTGCCTCAATGTTACTTCGCCAATGTAAGACATCGAAACAATTTCCTCTAGCTGATGTTAGAGGATTTCCTGTGAAGAATATTGCTGAAGTTCACTCAGACTTCAAATGTTCTTCTTGTCAGCTAGTGTTTGAAAAGCTGTATCCACTTGAATGCGGACATCGAATGTGTTCTATATGTGTGAAAGTTCGAACGAAGTAAGTCCTTGTGAATTATTTTCTTATTGTTGACCTTTCATCAATTATAGATGTGCCATTTGTTCGATAACTATCACGCCAAATAGAATTTCTGTTGATGACAACAATCGGCAAACGACTATGAAAGATGAACGGGCAGTTTGTTCAGACTGTGATTGGTCAGGGTCGCTGGGAGTTTATTATCAAGTATACATCGATGTTTTTCCACGAAGTGATTCACTTCATATATGTTTAGGAACATTTCAAAGTTAAACACCAGCATCTATGGACATGTTCTGTTCGAAATTCTGACTGCAGTAACCATGCTTGGGTATTGAATTCAGAGTACTCAACAACAACATTGTTGGATGGTACAGGCATTTGGAGAATTTCTGATGTCGATGCTCTGAAAAGTACGTCTAGTGAAACGGATCAAATCTAGTTTTTAATTCGTGTATAACTTCATATAATTATTAGAAAATCCAGAGAAAGCGATATATTCCAGTCCATTCTACCTTTTTCCTGGTGGATACAAAGCATGTTTGAAACTGTATTTAAAAGGCAATGGCCATGCACGACACACACACACATCGGCATTTCTTGTTCTCATGTCAGGTGGCTACGATGAACATCTTCGGTGGCCATTTCAATATCAAGTGACATTTACTTTGCTCGATCATGTCTCAGCTAAGTATAATGTGTCAACGTCTTTTTTACCTGACAAAACATCGAGTTCATGCCAACGTCCATTAAACACCATGAACACACCGCATGGCGTTATCAACTGCTTTTCGCTAGATTCATTAGACAAATATCAACATCATTATGTGGAGAGTGACACAATTTATATAAAACTTCAAGTGAATTTCTCTGCAGAAATGCTACGTGAGTGACAGATACATCGCTAATGATTTTTGTTTGTTTTCACATTTCAGTTTCACCGTTAATGCCCGGTGTAAACGAATCCTACGATGATGAAGAAAAGGTAATTGACAAAACAGTATCGAAATTGCTGAACGATCTGTTATGCGTCGGAACGTAGAACACAACATGAAAGGTCAACGAAGTGGTGGGATTCAAGTCTATTTTTCCTTCTATCAAACGAGATTTGTTAGTTTGAATAATTCTTTCATAGTTTCAATTGTCTACGTCGAGATTTTCATCTGAGATGATCTATGACAATTCACTAGATATCATTTCTCAGTTGAGTAAAGCAAAAGCAACTCTAATTTAACCGATACATCAGCTATAACTTTCTTTAATCATACGTTCTATTTGTTGGCGACTTTAAATAACTTTTTGTAGCAAACTGCAAATCTTTTATGTAAGTGTCAGTAATGAGAATCTGTGAAAAATGTTTCGTTTTTCTAACAAATAAAGAAAAAATTATTCGAACTAAACGACTTGCTTTGATCGACGTGTTGTTGATTTGTATTCACTTCAATAAAATCCATGATGCTAACCACGAAAATAATAACTTTGAAGAGTGTAATTGAATCTTTGATTTCTTGCTATCTATGAGGAGAGTGATTGCATGAACAGCTCATCGATTGAAGTGTCAATCGTTGTGGATGAGATTGGTATGAAACGACTTGGAATCGATTGATTCAATAGTGATAGACCATACGAAGTTTTAGTTAATAAAGTTAATTTCTTCCGGTGTGCTGGTCGATAAAAACACTCGAGTGTTGACAGGCGAAGACTATGAATACGTAAGGAGCCAGCAATAAAGTCTAAAAGTAAGCATATATTAAATTACATTTTCTACTAACATATGTCCGACGAATGTTGCTCGTCTACTCCCCGGTATTAAGATAGAGTAACTGTTAATTAAAACGCTAGATCGTTTCATCAATAATCTTTGGTTAAAACATGTGAAACTAAACATTAACATGACAATAAGTCATGGATTTGTGTTTCGAAATAAATGCAAAAAGTATAATCGGAACCAGAATTGAACTCTGAGAATATGTATCTGTCGATTAATTTATGAACTATTTGACGGTGCAAAGTGTAATTATACAGGAACTTTTCACTCTCATCGCACATTCAACAAGAAGGACTTTTCATTAGCTCTATTCGGTAAAAACATTCTTTATAAACATGTTATTCTACAATTCTCTCGACCTGTAACTGTCTGATATTTATTAGGAACTCGTTAATGAGTAATGAATTGCACAAGTTGCAAATTGTAGATCAGCGCACATAGATATAAAACTGTTCCGTTAATGTACTGATTATCATTCAAATTTACCTTCTTGAAAAGTAAGATCGATTCTGAGCAGCCTTAGAAAAAGTTATTAAAAATCAAATTAAAACACTTTTTAAGCTATGAGACAGACTGTGTCACTGGTTTGGAAAAACCTCATTTGATGATTATGGTATACCTAGCATACAGCCTACGGTCCTATTTTCCTCAAGTTTATATCAAGAATGACCATTGTATGCAGCAATCATATTTTGCTCTATTGAAGACAGTATAGTTTTGGTTGCATTCGTTTTTGGACTCCAAGAACCTTCTTTCTGAAGACAAATGTTAATTTCTTTTATTATAATTACGATATTATTGTTGAGCACTCATACTATATTGGAAGAAAGTGCGTACCGCTTTCACATCATAATATACGGAAAGACGAATACATAACGCAAGTTCTTTTCTACGAGCAGTTTTTCATTATAAATATACAGATTGAGATAACAATCCACGATCAATCGAATATTGGAAAAATCATCTCCATCTTTCTATGCACTGCCTGTTCGTTCTGATATCTGTATTTATACAGAGTGCAGTACTTGAAGCTTTTACAGAAAATTTGAAAGTAGTATGCATGGCTTACATCAAGTCAACCAATTTGGAGAAAAGTAACATTTTCCATCTACGCATTTCTTGTTTTCATTTGAATACTTATATGATGCTAAAAATAATTGCAGGAAAGTTCCCATTATTACTCTTCTATACTTTGATTCCGCTAGCAATTCAACAAGATATACGATCCCTTCGTATCTCTACCATTCCTAATGGTCAATTCAGTTGTATCAACACAACATGTTTACCATATAGTACAATCATAGTCTCCAAAATTCTGTATTGTCAAACAAACTGTTTAGCAAATATTCAATGCCAAGCAGCTCATTTTCATCGGATAACTCACCAATGTCAAATGTTTTCTTATTTCACATGGTCCAGTGCCAGTATGGTACCAGATATGAACAGTATTACGTTGGTCGTCTCTGATGATACACGGGTTCCATCAAGTAAGAACAGTATCTAGTTTCTGACTGTCTACTATTTTTCTAGTTTGGATACCAAACTGGATTTACAATGGTGATGGAGAGACTGGCCCATGTGCGACAAATTATGACCTTGTACATCCTACAGGTTGGAATTATGACGGACCAATCACACAAGTACAATATGGTGTTAGCAACGCAAATCAAAACATGATGACCCCAGGGCCGAGGTAAAAAGAAAATCAAGCTAATGCCGTTCACCTTTTATTGTTTAGTGACCGTGGAAAATGTCATTTTTATGGATTTAATTCAACGTCTGCGACTACAATGTGGCAAATAGTTGACATGACAACGTTAATCGATCCAGCTCGTATTAACAATCAAATCGTTCGATTCAATCTTTCTGCATGGCTTGGAGGTTATGCCAGAGACGAAGACGCTACTGGAATATCATTAACATTTTTAACTCAAGCTAACCAAACTGTAGGCAATACTACTACTCTTGGGCCAGTTTCACCTGCAGGTCGTAACAACGTAACATCATTAGTCTATCGACAAAGTAGTGGACAAGTACCTATTGGTGCCCGTCTTTTCAAACTTTTAGTCACAGTAACTCGCGCGGCGGGCAGTACTAATGACGGCGACGTTGATAATATTGCGCTTCGGTTCTATTGCTAATAAAACATTTAATTACCGCCGTACTTGAGAAAAACAATTTTCTAATGAAATTTTGCACAGCAAAGAATATTATTCAAACATTTTCCTGTCTGTTGCGACGAAGTTTTTTCAAGTCCACCTACTTTATATGCTAACAAACGCCTTTCTTTCTTTTCGCTGTCCTCGCGCTAAATTTATCTTCATTTCGTTTGACATTTTCGATGGATCAGCCAATCAACAAAAATGGAATAAAGAAAAGAAAAGGGAAAAACATGTTCAGCTCTTTTCCCACTTATTCCCCACACAGCTGCGAACTGTTCACCTTTCATCGTGAATTGTCTACTCTCTCTCTCGCTGTTCAACCGATTGTACATATAAGTCACTACGTTTGCTCTGCATCCAATATCAGACATCAGACAATGCATCTACTATATTCACTTGCACATCACATTCACCATAAGAGTGGAATGCATTAGTTCATTCAGATTCAATGGGACATGAGATTGGGAAACGCATGGAATGTAGCTGTAATACGCGGTGTCGGAATTACTGTGCTGACTACTTACCTCGTGGCTATCCGTGCTCAAGTCAATGCTTATAAATTGTGGAGCGAGGGCAAAGTGTATTTCATTGAATCGTACAAATATTGTTTGTATGTTCAGCGTGATGGATGTTGAATTAAAAATTCCAATAAATGGCCTGTGTTAGTTGAATACTCGATAATCACTTGTTTTCGGACAAGATGGACGAGGGTGCAGATGTATGATTCATCTACAACCGACGACCATATAATGAAAGGAGACATTTCAGACAGGCTAGTCATTAAAAAATTGAAATTTACTTATAAATTTAGTATGATATGGTAACATATACTGGTAGAAATTAGTTTAATTGCATGAAATAACTATACGTAAATGTGAAGTATGAGATAAAATCAACGCCTTCCATTGGTAAACATCCAAGTTATTTGCACTTTTCGATAAATGTAACATGTTTAGATGTGTAAAATGTCGTGACATGAAGGATAGAAGCTGCTCAGGTTGAATTTTTCCTAGTGAAATCGATGCGCGTAATAGATAGTTATTCGATGCAACAGAGAGAATTTCAGATGGACCGCGAGCATCTGCATCCAACGTGTCCACAGATAAATAACGGAGTTGAGAAGTATATGATAAAATAGATGAAAGGATGTTGAGTTTACATTCTCCTTTCAAATAAAGGTATTTTATTGGACTAAATGAGTTGTTGGCTGCAGGTGGTAGATCCGCGTCGAAACCAGTTTTGAATGTCATTTTGCAATATTTTAAAGTAGGTAAGCGGAATATTAAATCGTATATATTAGATTTACCGGAGTCGGGACCATTGTAGATGGTATTCAATGAATAGAGAGAAGGAATTGTTGTTAATGCAAGGAGAAGATTTTCAAGGTAGACCAGCTCCATTTGATCGAGGAGAAGGTAGCGTAGTCGAGTGAATTTCGAAGTATTTTGTAATAAGAGAATTGTAAGAGCCATAGGAAAAGAATTTAATAGGCAAAGTGAATGAATTCGGTGGAGATGTTGGAGAAGAAATTGCGTATAATATCGATGGAATGATCGATTTGATACCAGAAAAATGTCGATTCGGAGGGGAAAAGTAGAATACAAAACAAGATTTTGAAAGCGAGTATTGAGATTAAGAAAAGATGTGTAAACATTGTAAGCATCGAGGTACTCAAATACTTCGCAGATGATTTCATTTGAAAAATCATCGAACCGTGTTGGTACTACTGTTAATTAAGAAAATCGCTAGACTTACAAAGAATGAGTGATGTCATAATCCCGTTACACCCGGTATTCATCCAAAAGTAGACAATTCGCTATGTCACCATATGCAGCTGAGTCGGTGTATCCAACACGATACCCAAATAGAAGAGTATCCTGGAAAGCTAATGGATGTGAGTGGATTTGGTGTATCCAGCCACCACCCACACCCTCATCCTCAAGTGTTTACCCGCGGATAGAACGGGCTCGTATCGATACCCGGTGTAACGGTATTATGACGTCTATGCAAAGAATAGAATAGTACGACTTACTTCGGACCTCTTTTGAATCTTTTTCAATTCGGCGTCGCTTTGCTTGACACATTTTGAAAGATCTATTTATATTTGCGTCAACCATACTGTGTCAAAGTAGATTTCGATTCTGAATTGTGAAGGCAGAGTGCGATGCAATATCATTCTGTTTACTGATGATCCGTGTGTACGTCGTCGAATTACCAATAGAAATTTTTTATACCTCTACGATGTATACATATGGAAGAAAATAAAGTGCTAAAACACCGAAGAATGTCGCTATACAACGGGAGTATATTTTGAATTACAAAAAGGCAGGGAGATTATTCTTATTAATTGCAAACGTCCAATTGCCTGTCGTCGGATCATATAATTCTGCTGAACTAAGAGGATGCGGGTGCGAGTAGATGACTAAGATTACTAGATCAACTACCGGCAAGGACGTTCAATAATGTGTTTGTCCCTGTCTACGGAAAACCGATAAGCATTCATCTCGATCTATGTCAATTTCTAATATTATGTAGGAATCACAGCACGCACACGTGTTTTCACCAATACAATTGATACTTTTCTCTGATGAAATGTAGTCCGAAGACATTAAGATGCATGTTTATTGTTTCGTCTGTATCGATGATATTGAAAGTGAGCACGTGGATGAATATAAAAGAGGGAGAATTAACGAAGTGTAACTAAATATAAGCAAATGCAGAAATATTCATTCTATTGAAGGTTAGCGCGATGGAACGTGGCTTTGTTCTCATTGGACTTGATGAAATTGTCGACGAAAATGCACGTGACAAATTGCGAAACACAGCTCAAACTGTCAAAACCTTCACAGATATCGGTTCTTGTATTGAATTCATTCAGAAAAATCCAATGGATCGACTTGTACTCAGTCCGTCAGACACAATGGCCGAAAAAATCCTTCCAGAGACTCGTGACTTTGAAGAAGTGCACGAAGTTTATATATTATCAAAGGAAAAAGGAAACTACAGCGATGTGCGAGAACAATATTCGAAAGTCAAGATTCTTTGCACCGATACTTCGTCACTTTATGAGACGCTGAGTACAAATAACAAAGAATGGGTCGCAAATCTAGTATCAGTGCATTTTTTCACCGCAAATGGTGACGACGAATTCAGAAGATTCTACCAATTATTCAAAAATATGTTGTTACTAATTGATGATGATCGAAAGCAGATGGAAGAATATCTGAATCAGTACGAATCTCAAATGAACAATGAAAAATATATTTCCCAATCACCGATTTCGTGGTTTATCTCTAATCAGCTTCACACTTCATTCCTCCGCAAAGCTCTATATTCGATGGACATCGATATGCTTATAAAACTTGCCTGTTTCATCCACGATTTAGACATCAACATTTCCCATATTTATTCAAAACAATGTAACCAAGATCATCAACATTCATCAGCCTTGACGGCGTATTTCAGACATATTTTATCGCAGGAAAAGTTCGAACAATTGAAAGCAACAAAAAACGGTTGGATAGTATTTCAAACTTTCCTTTTAACAAGTGCAGATCGCCCGACATCACTTGACACCGTTCAGCAACATAACCAAAACGAGAGTCATGTTGGAATTCTATTTTCTTTGTTTTCGCCATTCCGCATCGAAAAATACAAACGATTTGCAAACAATGTTCGACTATGGCAAGTCAATTTGGTTCCGGGTGAAACACCAGATGTGAAGCTTTCCGAGGAAAAGAGCCGAAGTCGATTAATCGCAGAACTGATTCAAACAGACAGAGGACAGGAAGCCTTTGAGGCTATGTTAGAACACATTGATAATGACGACGAGAAAGCGACTCTTTACCAGCAATTAGGATCGATTCGAAATGATGAGCAAAATTATACCGAAGCCATTGAATTTTATCGAAAGGCAATTGGCATTCTATCAAAAAACCCTCTAGATACTAATCTCGCAGATGTGTATCACAAAATCGGTTTAATCTACCGAGATATTCGTGCGTACCTTGAAGCGATCTCTTTTCATATGAATGAACTCAACATTTTACAGCAACTCGCTCCTCTTAATTATGAAAGTATTTTTATCTGTTACGAATGCATCAGTTACAATGCTGAAATGCTGGAGAGCTATTCTGAAGCTATTGAATTTCAACTAAAACTACTGAATCTTGCCCAGCAACACGATTCATCTCCTCATCCGGTTTGCACCAGATGTTTGTTTCAGCTCGGACGATTGTATACGCGTCTAAGCAACGAATCGGAAGCATTATTCTATTACGAAACTTCCTACGAACAAAACCAAGGCATTTTGTTCGAAGAACGAACGAATAAGGTGACGGTCTGCAATGCTATTAGTAAAATCTTTGAGAAAAATAACAATCTAACAAAGGCACTTTCGTATTACGAAAAAGCACGAGAGCATTTAGAAGAAATACGACCGGTGAATCGTATCGATTACCTGCGTGCGTACAAAAACATTGCTCGTACATTCGAAAAACTCAATCAACCTACAAATGCACTTCCTTATTACGAAAAAATACTCCATTTAGACAGAACGGCCCGTCCGTCGAATAAACTCGACATAGCCAGTGACTACGCATCCATCGGAAGGGTCCTATACCAGGCGAAAGAATATCAAAAAGCGCTCGTGAATCTACATGTCGCAACGAGGTTGTACGAACAAGTAAATCTTTCAGATGAAACCGATTTAAGTCACGTCTTCAACTGCATTGGTTCTCTTTATCAAGAAACGGGCGATTATGCAAACGCGATCACATTTTTCGAAAAACTAGTTCCTATTCAAGAACAAATTCTTCCAGAAACACACCCCGATTTAGATCTTACATATTGCAGGTTAAGTTTTATGTATACTGTCACAAACCAACTGTCGAAATCTCTGTTTTACTGTGAAAAATCGCTCGAATTACAAAATAAAAAATTTCCTGACAATCATCCAGATCTTGTATCTTCCTATCAATGTGTGGCAAAAGTTTTGATGGATGTAAAAGAGTACGACAGATCATTGGAGTATTACCAAAAAGCAATAGAAATTCTTGAAGTAACACAATCAGGCGATCGAGATGATCTGAAGACTATGCTCGATAATGTCGTCAAAATTTACACAGCAATCAACGATGATAGAAATGTACTGCTTTATCAAGAAAAAATTCATCAATATTTGCTGAAAACTTGCTCACCGGATGATCACAGTCTAATCAATTCATACGAGAGTCTTGCATATCTGTATGAAAAGTTAAATAAAAACGAAAAGGCTAAATTAATTCGCGAACAACTGATAGAAAATTATGAACGAAACCCCTCATTAGCTCAATGCGATTTGCCGAACCTGTATCTGAAAGTTGCTGCACATTTCGAAAAAGAACGCAATTATACGAAAACGTTCGGTTATTATCAAAAAGTATTAGACAGTCTACAGAATGACCCTCGTCCTAATCTCTCCTATATCGTCACGCTTTTCTTTCAACTAGGTAGATTTTACGAAAATCTCGAAGATTTTTCTCAAGCATTGCAATGCTACCACGAAGCATTGGATACACAACTGAAGATTGTTCCGGTAGATAACTTCATGCTGATCATCGCTTATGATAACATAGCGCGAATTTATGATAGTACCGATAGACCTTTGCTATCGATTCCATCGTATGAGAAAAGTGTTGACCTCGCCGAACGCACATCTGTAAACAATGTAACTTTAATGGAACGTTATCAGAAAATCGTCACTGCGTTAACCAAAGTCGGATATTACTCAAAAGCTTTGACATATGAAGAGAAAAACGTGGAACTCCACCGAAAGCTTTATACTGAAAAGCCTTTACAACTAACCAGTTGCTATACTGATATCGCTGGACTTTATTATCAAATGGGAGATTATACAAAAGCGCTCTCATTTTATAAAGACGTGATTACAATCACTAAAAACCATCTCGGTTTCGACCATACTGAATTGGCTACTTCTTATATTAATATTGCGAATGTGCATGTGGCAATCGGGAAATATCCTCAAGCACGGTTGAATTACCAAAAAGCATCGGATATTTACAAGAAAATTCTCCCGATGAATCATCCGTGTTTGGCAACTCTTTATGCTAATATGGGTTTGTTGAACAGTAAACTGGGCAAATATTCCGAAGCATATTCGAATTATCAACAAGCGATGGAAATAAGAGAGAGTAGTCTTTCGCCGTCACATGTGGATTTAGCGAATTCTTATACAAGTTTTGGCGCTGTGCTAACGAATATGCGTCAATATAAAGAGGCAATTCTGTATCATGAGAAAGCACTGAAAATTTTGCAATCGATTGTGCCAGCCAATCATCCTTATCTGGCGTGTACATACAATAATCTTGGTGTTACTTATAAAAATATGGGTGAACATGCTAAAGCACTTTCGTACTACAAAAAAGATTTAGAAATTTCCAAAGAAAGCCTTCCGCCGAATCATCCGGATCTAACTGTGTCCTATAACAATCTCGGTGGAATTTATCTGGCAATGAAAAATTACCCTCAGGCACTTCAATATTATCAGCAAGCACTGGATATTCGGCAGAAAATTCTTCATCCAAAGCATTCCGATCTAGCTCAATCATTTAATAATCTTGGTTCAGTGTACATGGCGATGAATAATCGTTCAAAGGCAGCGAAATTTTATAAATATGCCCTAGATATTGCTCAACGAGTCTTACCCGAGCATCATCCTGATCTTTTCGCTTACAGAGAACATGTGAAACGTGCAAGAAAATAGCTTGTTTTGAAACGTTGAGAACGCAGGTGAAAATCAATATATCGCGTGTAGCTTTTGAGTGCTTTTATTTTATTTGTTTGATGATTTGTGTTAAATGCAATATTTATAAGAAACGACAAGATTCATTACAGCAACAATAAAAAGAATGTTGAGAGAATACGAATATTCTTTCATTCTAATCTCTTTAACTTGCACGTTATCATATCATACTGTGGGTGTATGGACTCTGTTCGATCTTTGATAAAAGTATCTCCATTCTATTGTTGTGTGCACTTTCAGTTTCGACACCATTTCGTATTGAAGACTTTAACATACGAGGTAAAATTTCTACTTATCAATCATGACTTATACACGGAATAACTATTCAATGTCACCGTCCTACGCTGACCTTGCAACAGATATGTGGCACACAATGAAATGGTACTATGGTCCAGATGCATGGCGTGGTTACGTCTTTCCAGATTCGTTTATTGACGAATTCACTCAACACTATTACTTTCCCCTACAAGATATCACTTATATAGTTTATGCTGCAATCTTTCTCACATTCATTCGTTCCGTATTCGAACGAACTACGCTCAAAGTTTGTTGCTATTTTATTACACCTAAAATGCAGCGCAAGAACTTTTTGACCTTTAGCCTTTGGCGAACTATTTGAATTTAACTACCGAAAACAACCAAAAGTTCCCCGAAACAGCATGGAAGTTTCTTATGAGCGCATGTGCATGGTTTTACTGTACTTATCTACTCTATTATCGTTACAATTACTACCAAGAACCTTATCTCATCTGGGATGGTAAATGTACATTTCTTTCCTGATTTTCCTAACTCACTTTTCAAATTTTAGACTGGTCTTCGGGTATGAAAGTTCCATTTGATATCAAACTAATGTATTTCGGTCGATGTGCCTACGCCCTCCATTCTCTTTATGCCATATTCTATAAAGAAACTAAACGTAAAGACTTCTATGCCATATTCATTCATCACATATTGACCATGACACTCATTCTCGTATCGTACGCCATTCGGTAAGAACAAAGCACGAATTTGCGTTGTTTTTGTTTTTCATTCAAACTTCTTTTTTTGTTTAATCGAACAGATATCATAAAGTTGGCTTAATTGTTCTCTTTGTACACGACATCAGCGATGTTTTGCTCGAACTTACAAAACTCTTACACTATATGAGTGTCCGACAAGGTGGCGAAAAATATCCTCAATATGAAAATGCTGCCAACGGTAGTTTTATTATATTCACGCTAAGCTGGTATAATGATTATTACGATTTCACTCAGGTTTATTTTCTTGATGTTCTACATAGGTTTGTGTTTCGTCTTTATTTGTATCCGTTGAAAGTTTTGTATTCAACCGGAGTTGTTTTTCCTTATCGAACTCATGATAAAGGCTGCAATTTATATGGTTTTTTTAATGTACAATTGTGGATATTACTTGTTCTAAATGTCTATTGGGTCCTGGTATGCATTTCTGTATATGTAAAAGAAACGATCCTGACGACTGCTTTTTGTGTCTTTCAGTTTCTTCTACAATTTCTCTACAAAATTAGCACTGGTGCTTTGTCAGGTTTGCAAGATACTCGTGAACACGAAACCAAGACTGAAAACAAATCCTGATTTTTATTTTCGGTACGCTTAGTCAAATGTTTTTTTTTCTCTATCCAAAACTCTGTTTCTAGCCATGTATGCATTTGTTCGCAAGTCCAATACGCAGATGACTCGCATCATTCTATTCTACTATCAAAATCCTGCTATTTTCATCATGATGATGGATGCTGACCACAACATGACATTATTTGTTACCGTACATGATAGAATATTATTTTTTTCATTTCTTGAAACAGTAGCAATAAAATAATGTCATTCGTGTTTTCTAATGATTGCGAACTGTTAACATCTCGACTATAAACAACCTCAGGAATAGTACAATGTCTAATTGTCAACTTCACAATCGCATATGTGCCGATTGTGAACCTTGCAATTCGTTTCGAATAATTGATAATCCTCAGAACGTGTTAAAGCATTGTACTTGAGAACATGTCACAATATTTCCACATCGATGCAAACACTTGCATTGCCTTTATACGTTTAGTTTATGAAAGTTGTCATGGCATAAAAGTCTTCCTTTGCCGAAATCTGCTTCTAGCTGTTGTTCGTCGGACTTTTATAAAGATAAAAATGTGCATTGATTCGAACTTAAGTCATGAAACCTTTCTCCTTATTGCTTCACTCGATATCCTTGCATACATGTCTACTTTGTACACGTGCGTCATGAATGAGCACACAATGATGTCGTTTATTTCATATATATGATACTATTAACGAACAAAAAATATACTAGGTAAATAACATTATAAGAGCGATTGCATTTCAGAATTTTGATCTGAACGAAACTTTTCATAGATGGATACAAATGCAATAATCGTTGTTGATAAACTGACAATAGCTAAGATCGTGAAAAACGGACCACTGTGTATTATTTCGATAGTTGGAGCAATGAACGAAACAACGATTGACGCAACCAAATATTGAAAAGAATACGCTAATGAACTAACACTGCCTGAATTTTCTTGATATTTGCTTGTAAGATACGAAAGAATCCCCGGTCGAGTTGTTGATCCACCGAAGACAGCAAGAACTTGTCCAGTTAAGGGTATAATTGCATGTGGAACTTTTCCTATAGTCCACCCAAAAAGCAGTAGACCAATAATAGTTGTCAGAGAAAGCAAGAGTCCTGGTATCATTCGTCCTTCAAGAATCTTCGAGATTCGAAACGATCTTCGTGCTACATAATCTGCCAAGTCTCCTCCAACTACACTACCTAATAGATAGGCTATTCCCAGAGGAATGTATAGCATGCCAACTGCGCTTTCAGACAGCGAATATGGCGGTAAAGACATCGTGGTTGTTAGCATTACACTACAGCACTTAAATGCTAACATTCCAGCAACAAGCGGTAGAAGATAGGGTAAAATTGAACAATGATTCAAATAACATAATGGCAAACATGGATTGATTAATTTTGGTTCCTGTGATTGATCACACTCGAGTAATTTTACACCTTTTTCATCAAGATATTTACGTGTCACCATGTATTGGTGTGTTTCTGGTACTGATAACACGTAAATTATAAGCAGAACTGTCACCAATATTGTAGTAAATATAAACGTAGATCTCCAACCATATCTTTGAGATATTTCACCACCAAACACGGGCCCAGTCAGTCCTGACAAAGAACTGCATCCATAGAATATTCCATAAATTTCACCACGATGATTTTGGTCATATACATCAGCTATGGTTCCTTGTGCTACAACTACTGATGCAGATACTAGACATCCCTGTAACGCACGAAAAATTATAAACACGTAGATATTTGGTGATAAATAACACCCAAGGCCAGAAAAAATGAGACAAACAAGTGCAAATATCATTATTGGTTTTCGTCCGTAGTAGTCTGATAATGCTCCCCAGAGCAGACTGGAAAGTGCTAATCCAAACAAATACATACTGATCGTTAGCAATCCCATTGTTTCTGTTGTATTGAAATCTTTGATGGTTTCCGGTAACGCCGGAAGATAAACAAGCTCATCAAAGACAGAGAAAATAGCAAGTGCACAAATATTGAACAGAATGAGAAGCTTCTGGAATTGATCATATGTTTCATAAATACTTTGAAGTTTCTTTTCTTCAACACTTGTAGTATATTTTTGTGAATTATATAATATCGACATTCAAACTCAAACAATAATGTCGGCCTTCGCCTCACCGGCGAAAAGCAAATCGTATATATATATAATCGATTTTTCTCTTGTAGATTATCGAAACGCTCTAATGCTCATGTTCCGTTTGAATCCAACTACTCGATTGAGTCAGCATTAGTTTTATCAATGCTATATGATTAGTACTCTATGAAGCTCTGAATATAGTCAAATTTCGACTGATGACATAGCTGGCTTAGACAGGAGCGAATACCTGTATATATCATGTGCTTTACTCAGGTCGGCGCACACTAATCTTTAACGAAAAGCGAACGTAACCGGAGAGATTAATTTCATAGTCCAATAACACAATTTTTTTTTCATAGACACGTAAATGTAAACTTAATAAAGCTAAGCATTTGCTCGGTTATCTTATATATCGAGAAAAACTTCAAGTAAGTGAATGTCGGTTGCTATTTATTTGAATCTTCATCGTCAATATAGTGTGAGTTTGAAGAAGAATGTTAGGCGTTACTTAATTTCATATCCTATCTCCTACAATACTATTATAGACCATATTCTTGTCGCGTAGAACAGTTATTTAAATTATCTAGAGATAGTGTTACAGATATGGCAAACATTTGATCAATACATAGTTTCAGAAGTTGCGTAGTTTACCTCATTGAGCTAAGTTTTCTCGTGAAGAAATTTTATTGATGAAGAAGAGAATATGACATGAGGTTATGTAGTATTTGAAATCTTATTCTACTAATAATTCAGAATTGCATATGGAAATAACATTTTGAGAAAGTTCCAACTGATGCCTATGACGCACAATCGTGCGCTCGCATGGTGTTCATAAAAACAATTTCACATATGCGTTTCCTTTTATATTAATTGGCAAAAAAAATCTTCGTTCTCCACCATGAATGAATATCAACGTCTTGAAACTCAAGACGGAAAAAGACCTTTTCCAACGCGGAGTTTCTTCCTCGAATACACAAAGCTGTTTCTATGATGATACTCTTCCTATAAATATGTTTGTCAGCTCATACATTACCTTACTTTTCAAACAGGATTTCCAAATGAATTCTTTCATTTTTGCCGTATTCCCCTTAGTTTGTGGATTCGTATCAGCACAAAGTTGTAGCAGCGGTTATTATCAATACCAAGGCAAATGCTATCCTTGTTCACCTGGTTACTACTGTCCGAATGGTGTTAACCAATATATCTGTCCCGCTGGCGAAATTGCATCCGACTGGAAATCGACAGTATGTTCCGTTTGTTCTCAAGGATATTATTCATCCTATGGTGGATCGGAAGAATGTAAAAAGTGCCCTAAAGGGTATTTCTGTCCGCGACGAGACCAAGAACCTATTCGATGTAATCGTGGAGAAGTGTCAGGTGAAGGTGCTACAGCATGTAGTAAATGTTCACTTGGATACTATTCATCTGTTCGCGGCGGATCGGCATGTTTACTATGCCCTGCAGGCTACCAATGCCCTCAAGTGAATCAAGTACCGATCCCATGTCCAATCGGAACTTACTCTAGCGATGGTCAAACGGTTTGTTCAACTTGCTCAACTGGTTATTATACAACGTATTTAAATTCCACTCGTTGTTACCCTTGTCCTCCAGGATACATGTGTCAGGATCCAAAATTATGCCCTAAGCCATGTCCAGCAGGAACCTATGCACCTGACTTACGTTATACTTCATGCAGTAGTTGCAACAGTGGAGTATGTTCAAATGTAACACGACTCTACGATTGTAATTCGTGTGTACAAGCGAAAGTGATGAATTGCACAGAGGGGCAATATGTTCCTATTTACAGTTGCACAAGAAGTTAACTCTTTGTTTTATTTTTGAAAACTATCTAATCTAGAAACTATACTTTATTTTCAACTAATCTCGAAATAAACTGACATGCTTTCATATCTTACAGTGATGAGGCTTTCGAAAGAATGTTCAAGATATGAACACAAAACTAAATAGAGCAGTGGTCAAAAGCATGAGAATACGCCATGGTAATTGGATATCTTTCTTTTGGCTGTCTGCCCTATATCCTTATTTTAAGCTAGACAATGATCAAATAGTTCAAAAGGTTATTCAAATGCACTTTTATGCCGGTTTATTCTTTTTCTTCTGGACACACTCCTACATCATATTATCGGCACCAATAGGAACGCGTGACTAATGAATTGGACACGTATATATTTTGTCATTCTCTGTTCAGACGTAATAAGTCGACTGTAATGATTTTGCGTACATTCGCTCGAATAAACCGACCACAACAGCGATGGTTCGATCTCACTATTCACCGTCAATTCCATCAAACGGCTCGATTAAATTGTGGCGTTCTTTCCTACTTCTATAATTCACCAACTCCAAGTATTCGTTCAAATGACGACTATCGATCGTTGCTGAACGGTCTAAATACCTTGAAACATCGTGGTCCGGATGGAGCGCCATCGTTATGGCAAAATGAAGAGAAAACGGTCGGTCTCGGTCATACTCGTTTATCAATCATTGATTTAAGCGACCGTGGTCGACAACCACTGCACTCTTTCGACCAGAAGCTACATCTCTCCATGAATGGCGAATTGTACGATCATGATCGAATTCGTCGGCAAGGCATTGAACAAGATGAATACCAATTTCTCAGTGAAAGTGATAGTGAAATAGCCCTATATTTATATCGAAAGTACGGTCTCGAATTTCCAAAATATCTTCGTGGGGAGTTCGCAATAACAATGTATGACGACGAAAGAAAAGTACGTGGATTTTCTTGCCACACTTGATATGATTTGTTGTCTTTGAATACAGATATTCATCGCTGTTCGAGATCGTTTTGGCATCAAACCATTGTATTACACGTATTACGATAATAAACTACTATTTGCTTCAGAAATCAAAGCTTTGTTTGCATTTGGGTAATATCTATCTATTCTGTCATGCACACGATGAAATAGTCAATCTACATTCTCTGTTTCCGTTTAGAGTACCAGCTGTTTGGAATGAAGAGGTTATTTATAACGTTGGGCAAATGCGTAGTTTGCAAACTGTTTTCAAAAATATCCAACAAGTTCCGCCTGCTCATCTGTTAATCGCAACAGAAAATGGTACAGTGCATCTGTCGAGATACTATGAAATGTCATACATCACTCGTGAAGAGGAAAAGAATGATGAACGTACTGAAAGGGAAATGATCGATGGTGTACATGAACACCTTTTGAATGCAGTTCGTCTTCGTATGCGAGCTGATGTCAAAGTCGGTGTGTTCCTCTCGGGTGGCCTAGACTCTTCGGCTGTCTTAGGTATTGCAACGACGCTGACAGATCAACCGATCGACACATATTCCATTGCATTCAAAGAACATGTTGATTTCAATGAGCAAAGTTTGTGTATTGAAACGAACAAACATTTTGGCTCGAACAAAACCACGCAGCACATCGTGGAAATAACGCATGATCAATTAGCTGAACATTTCGATGATTTTGTTTGTCAATATGAATATCCGCTAATGGCAACGAGTCCAGTGGGAAAATATATTTTATCCAAAATAGTTCAAGAGAACCATGGAAAAGTGGTTCTAACTGGTGAAGGAAGTGACGAAATCTTTTCTGGGTATGTTCTACAAAGTCTCTTCTATTGACTGATCGCGGTACTTCCCATCTTTTAGCTATGTTCCATTTCGTCAAGATTATCTATCATACGATCTTCCGAATGATCCATCCGTCTTTCACTCGACGACTGATGAGCAACGTGAAAAAATTGTCGAATCGTTATCGCGAAATATTCTAAGCGCAATGGATAGTCTCGATTGTCGAGATCGAGAAGCAGACTGCATTCAGACAATGGGCTATTTTCCAGCTCAAGAACGTTCATTAATGTTTGCATGGCATGGCATTTTTGCTGACAATCTCAAAGAGAAATACGAGCATTTTCATTTGAATAGTTTTTATCTCAATGACTCTACACTTTATGATTATCATATCAGACAACAAATGATGAAATATGAAATTTCACGTGTACATTCAAGTCAATACATGATGATGAAAACAATTCTGTTAAATATTCTTCTGAAAGCTTATGGTGACACGGCAGAAATGGCTCATTCAGTTGAAGGACGTTTAGCGTTCCTTGATCACTACTTGGTTGATTACGTGAACCGTTTACCAACGAAAATGAAATTGAAACTGCAAAATGGTTCGATTGTTGAAAAATATATTTTGAAAGAAGTGGCGCGGCCATATATTACGGAACAAGTTTATCGAAGAGAGAAACATCCGTTTGCTTCACCACCATCTTTACTCAATCCAAAATCGAAAATTTATCAATACATTCAGGATACATTCAATTCAAACGATGTGAATCAATTGAAAGGTCTTTTCGATATCGAAAGATTACGTGAAAAATTGAATAATTTACATAAAAATCAAGAATCAATGAATAAGCAATATCTATGGGGAGAATTAGCAATTATGGAGGGACGTTATTTGATGATCTGCAGCTGCTTAGCATTAACTAAGCGCTTCAATGTTAAATACACTTAGACATATCTCAATTCGTTGTAAATTTTTGTGTAAATATACATGTAGTTTGTTGTCTTCTGTAATAATAAAAAATATATGGCGATGTTGGTTCTTTTATCGACCTTTTTCTAAATTTTCACAGATGGTTTCTATTTGGACAAAAGACATCGTAGGTGTTATTCGCTTTCAACATTACCTGGCTGGAAAAAAAAATCAATGAGTTTTGTGTTTCTTTTCTTTATCTTGCGTCAAAGTGTGCACAACTTGTCATTCTCGTTCTCTATGCTCTCTCGAAAAATCCCCAGTAGTGTCCTATATCATGGCCAGCAAATTTCTTTTTCTGCAGCATTTTGCAAATCACTACATTATCCATCCAACTTCCAACACAAATCGATTATGACCTACGATACTGGTATATTCGTATTTAATCGAATAACAGACGAGAACAAATGGAAATTATTTTTGCAAGCGGTTTATGCGTATTTTTTGGAGCATCAAACGGACAGCATGCGTATGGTGGTGAATAGGAACGATACTACTGGTGAATTTCTGCCAATAGTTACAGAACATCATCCAGTTGTTACCGATATGAAATTAATTCATTTAACCGATCAGTTCAATTTCATCAAAGGCGATACGGATGATTCGTTTTCTGCTACTTGGCGTACAAATTTAGCGAAGAAACTTTACGGGAAGGCGTGTTATGTTTTGACTGAAGAAGAAAAATCGATTGTCTACGACAAGAGCTTGAAAAAAGTGCGAGGATTGGCAGAGCAGATGAATTATTCTTTATCAGAAGATGAACTACAAAGATTAATTGGAATGAGCGACGTATCGCATTCAGAGGCTGCTTCCATTGAACCACCTATTGCGATTGCGATCGAAAATATTACTTTGCCGCTCTATGCCCATCATTTCAAAAAGGCTTGGGCACAAGTTTGGCATCCAATGTGCTCAGAATTTGTTATCAAAATATTTCGTAAATTATTGAAGAGATATTTTCCTGAAGAACTACACTATTGTTACTTTAATGAACTCAACGATCTGAATGATTCGGACGAACCAGAAACAGGTTATTACTCATCGGATCCTAAGTACCGTCAGCACGCTACGAACGAATCCAGAGAAGAAAATAACATCTTCTATCGACAAATACAAGGAATAACAATCGAAAATACCGAGCCGTAAGCGTTATCTTTTCGTCCTGGTGGAAAAGGTTTTGACGAGGATGAGCTTTACCTTTGTAGGACAACGGTAATGGTAGCGAAAGCAGATATTTTGAAACCTTCAACGCAAACACAAACAGGTACTCAAGAAAGTAACATGTACTATCTTTCTATGTTCGTATCATAATTTCAGACGAAACACCAGCGTGGCAAAATTATCTGGAAGTTGTATCAATTGAAAATAAAGGAAGAGGATATCGAGCACGCTGCAATATACCAGCGATGACATGTATCATGCACGATACACCACTTGTGACTTCTTCCTCTCCGGTCACTGGTTTTAGAGCGCATAACGAAGGATATTTACTTCACGCTGCTGAGCCACTGGTATTACAAGTGCTTGAAAATAAAGAATATTTTGATTTATTGTCACCACAACAACCCTCAGGGCGGTTTGCCCGAGAAACATCACCTTATCCTTCTCTTTATTCACATGAAATGTGGCAACTAGCTCACGAAAAGGTGGCGACGAATGTGTTTCGAGGAGAAGCAGTAGATTCAACCATGCTGAATCGAAAATACTTACTAAAACTTGGTGTAAGAACATCCTTGTTCAATCATAGTTGTTGTCCCAGCGCAACTATCAGCAAAATTTCCGGCACAACTAAGCAAAAAGTTGAGACTGTACGAGATGTCACTGAAGGTGATTTGAAAGAGTAATTTTTAGTACTACTCATTATCCTACTCTTTTTCGTTTATCAGGAGACGAGATATGCATATCATATCTATCCGATGGATATCTGCCTCGAGACGAACGTCAGCGAATTTTGTCGGCGCGTGGATTTACCTGTCGTTGTGAACGCTGCTCACCCGAGTCGACCTTTGAACGAGACGTTCCATTAACTGCAGATATCAGTTTACTGCCACTATCAAATGAAAAAATTGCTCCTCTACGTCGACGTTATGATCAACTAGTGGCTAACCTTCAATCGATGCTTGGCTTCAGCACACCTCAGTCATGCTCACTGTGGATAATGCAGGCTGAACGATGGTTAGTTGATGCTAGTAAACCACCGTATCAACTACATCAGTTTCATTGGTTATCCGTGCATTTGTATAAAATGCTACGTGATCGGTATAAAACCATGTATGTCAGCAACGCTGGTAATCGTAAGGACATGCGAAAGAAAACTCTATACTATGGGAAACTGATTATTCGTGCCGAGTTTGCAGTACTGCAGCCACTTGATCCTCATAAACAAGCAGTGGATGCGTTTTTGGACGATTGGAATGATATGGGTATGCCAAAAAATGGCGCATGGAAATTGCTGAAAGAGCTGGAACCAAATGCCGAAATTATCATTAAAAGCCTAAACGAATAGTATACTTTTGATTCTGATCTTATCTTTGTCAGAATTAACTTGTTTACAATACGAACTTTTTTGTGTACGATAGCATATTTGATATCGATCAATTTCTATCTATTGTCGAAATGTTCAAGATCACATAAAGAATACTATTTCAGCTGAGAAAAATGACTAAGCGCGTCATTAGACATGCATACACGAGAGAAATCATTCTATTTCTTTTATCTTAATAACGAATACGTTAGCACATTTATAAAGTGTGAGCATTATCAAAATGAAACTTTTCTTAAGCGACAAGGTTTCCGTACTGCCATACACCTGTTCGCCTGATTTTACCGTTATAATATTAAGTGCTGTTTTCATATCGTTCATCTTTCAGAAATCTCCCTTCATAGCGATCGCCATCAACAAAATAGAGCAAACCCATCTCTATACGTTCATTATTTAGCCAAGCTTCGACATATTTGTTTCCGTTAGACCAGACGTACGTCCTACGTCCTTCTCGTTTGCCGAACCGATAATCTCCAAAGTACTTATCGTCACTGGTCGACCCCCACAATCTTGAGGGTGAGTGTGGGTGTGGGTTGGATGAAAATATTTTATAATTGGAACCGATAGACCTCATCAAGTTGTACTTGGAACCAGTGTTGGTTTGATTAGAACCTACGCTGAAACGAATCCGCTCAAGAAAATGTCGAATCCTACCTGAAGGTATCCTACGTCCCTCACCCTCACCCTCACCATACGGTTGCTAGCTGCCCTTTTGGCTTTTCTTTTCTAATGAATTATCCCCACAAATCTTATCATTTCACCGTATAATGATGTACTATGAAGCAATGTTTTCTATCGTTTCCTTCTGTGGACGAGTATATAACACAGGAATTATGCTATTCAAGAGAAATAGATAAATAAAGGGTAGTTCCATCAACGCATATACGTCTTCCGTCGAAGTTTGTCATAACATATACGGCAACATAGCGTTGGAGTTCTCTTAGCATCTCTTTTGAGTTATATTTCTTTCACCGACTATGCAAACAGAGCTGTGAACAATGATACAGGCTTAAGTCCTTACATAGTCATTGTCGATTATATCAGACACTGTTCTCTTCCCAGCCAGACAAAAATTTGGAAAAACGCGTTTAAACATCAGAATTTTCCTTTCTCTAGCGTGAAAACGCCTTATTTTAAAATACTATATTAAAAGACCGCTTCTACGTTGGAAAAAGGAAAATTCCGATATTTACACGCTGAGAAAGTTGAAAAAAACCCCAGGAAACGCGTGTTCGAACGTGTTTTAACTGAACATTAATAGCTCACAATCGTGGTTCTCTTTTGTGTGTTTAAATGCGTTTGTCCAAATTTTTGTCTGACTGGGTTCCTATTTATCGCTAGAACTTTCGACTTTTGCCGTGATCCAAGTCCATTTATGTATTCTTCTATTCAATGAAATATATCAGTTGTGATCGTACAGCTTCTCAAATGCGCATAGTAGTAAATGCTTTCTTCATCAATAATGATCTCAGCATTAGAAACTTCCAGTGCTTTCTATTCGTTACTTTTTTTAAACAAATTTTTTCCAGTTTTCCTACTTACTTAAGTCAAATAAAAAAGGTTGACGACGATATTTGTTCAGCATAATCGGAAGATGATCGGAAAAAATCAACATGAATATTTGTCTCCGGAAAAGTCGTAAGTAGCGTTTGAATATTTACTCTTATGTGTTTGTCGGACTTTTCCCGCTACTTTATTTTCTCTTATAAACATAAAAACAGTTTTCTTGCGTGTCCATTTTCAAACGAAGAGTTCTGATTGCGATTTAAAGCCCTGAAAACCGGTTTAAATGAGTTCAAACTATTGAGCCGGATTACCAAAGGTAAGGATTGCATGAACATGTTTTCATAGCTGTTATTTATATCATCTTGCAGACCCTAGCCTTCGGTAGTGCATTGTTCACGAGTTTGAACTCATTTAGATGCATTGCGCTAACTTCATATTAATTCATAGTTTCATTTCAAATCTTCTATCATATAGATTTTTAAAAAACCACCTTCAAACTGAATAAAAGCTTTCTTTATCAATGTCGAAACGCACAGCAGTATCGATCGGTGCAAGCAAAAGAACAAAGAGGCTTGACAGCAAGTATTCGGTCAAACCAAGTGATGAATCGATGAAAAAAGACACTTTATTTGTTTGGGTTGATAAAAACGTCAACGAAAATCAACGAATCCAAACCAGTATAAAACAATTGGAGTTATCTTTTACACGTGCCATCGTAACGGATGATTCTCAACGATGTAAACAATGGTTAAAGAAATACAGCGGTGATGAGAATATTTTTCTGATTGTATCTAACGCTTTATTGATGAAAGTCTTGCCTCATATTCATTCATTATCGGCTATTACTCGTGTGTACACATATGGCCCAAACCGCACAGGTGACGATCGTTGGGCTAAAAACTATCCGAAAGTTCGAAAAATGGCTCCTAACATAAAACAGTTAGTAGAAGCGATATCCATGGATTTGAAAGATGTTCAACAACGTGAGAATATGAAGATAGAGTGTGTGCATCAACACTTAACCAGAAGCATTGTGAGTCGAGATTATGAGAAGAAACCTACGAAAGACGACAAAGAAGGGGTGAGAAGTATGTATTATACTCTATCTTTAGGGCTACGAATGAAAATTTATTTTGAACTGATAGTCACATTAGTCTTGTCGTGTTCTTTTCTATAAGCAGGCATTACTAACTTTCAATTTATACTCATTGATGTGACAAAAAACCTGAATGAGCATGCGCGTGCTATGTTGAATGCTTTGATATCGATGACACCCGCAGCAATTCGTGTTTTTGATGATGGATTAAACATAAATTTTCAGCAATTACCTGACCAACCTACGTTTCTTTTTGTTAGCAACGCATTCGCTGGTACAATGGATAAAAAAGCAAAACAATTCGAAGGGGTCTATATTTTAACAGGAGATGAAGACCGAGTCGATCATCGGACACGTTTCGAAAACAGTGAAGATCTCATTTTCCAACTAGCTGATGAGATATACCGATGCTACATAAAAGAAGCAGATCAATATCTGAACTCTGGTAATAGCTTGACAGCAGAAATCAAGAAACAACAAGCAAATCAAGTTCATAGCAATGTGAAACGAGCATACACGTCAGTCTGCGATCATCAAGCAATTACATACAAATTCGACGATGCAGATGGTTTTGCATGATGTACTCTTCGTTCATGTACTACAAAAACAGTATCTTTTTCTTACTAAGAAAAAACCAATAAATATTTTCACCTTTTAATCCGAATGACCAAAATCTTATCATCATATTTTGAAGTTTTTCTTATTGTAGATGCAAACGATCAATCATATTGTATATGATGATAATTTATATCGAAGTGGAACTTATTTGGCATCCTTACTGTACGAAACGAGCGGTGTAGCTTTAGCAATAGCTTTGCCAAATGCTAATATCATGTCGTTCATTAACCCTTTTACTCAAATTGCAGAGTGCCGGGATCATGTTGAAAATAACCCCAGGAAAATAATTACACTGTTTGCTTGGAATGAGAACATGCAAAGGTGGTTAAGCGGTGTCGAAAGTATATCAGGAAATCTGAAAGTAATCAAAATATTTTGTGGTCTACTTGAGCAAGGCTATGTTAATTCGTGGATAAAACGATACAAGAAGCAATGGAAGAATGTTGAATTTGACATAATCTCGTATGATGAACTCAACTATGCTTTGATGGTATTTGGTGTGGATCATTTAAAAAGGCTCTATCCGGATTTTCCACGTGGTTCACCAGAATATCAGCAATTACATTTAAACTACAAACGAGTTTGTCGCGCGTTAGCAAATTACTTCTGGGACGAAGCGAATAGGGAATAATTTAAATAAAACAGTGTAGACTAGAAATATGTGTTTAGATGAATAGTTCTGTGTTCGGAGTGGTGCGAAATATGTGAACGTTTGTCGTAATAAATGTACTCAGGATCAATGTAGTTATCAGACCGTTTAGTTAAGAAATGTTGCGAATGGTTCATCCAACTATAATCGACAATTTTGCTCAAGTCAAAAAGATTGAGGGTGAAAAAATCAAGTCATTCGGTTTTTTCTTCCTCACCGTTTCCTTCTTCTTTTGTCAGGTTTTGAGTGGCTTAATGCAAACACAAACTCAAGCGCATATTCTCCGAGAACTTTCCTTTCTGCCACTTCTATTTTCGATCGCTATTACTCAAACAGACGAACATTTGCATCATTCATCAACGTTCTCCACTAGTCTTTAAAATTTCCCTAAATTCTTTTTCTAAACGATGTTTTATCTTAGTCACACTCAAATTAAAAAGTTATCATACACCAGTGTGAGATGCTCAACTAAGGAATACCTGAAAAGAGCTCCATGCGCGATTAAAGCGTGAGCATCTATGTATTTTTGTTGCATCCAAGCACATGGTCGTAAACAAGAAGACAAAATGCCAAATAGTCAATTGAATGGACATATCCGAAGTCTTCACCTGGCCGAACTGATCCTTGAAAAAGTTCAGTTATGATGTGAAATATACCACTGGACAATTCCGTTCTTAGAATTCGAGAAGTTGATGATTCAGTTGTATGTTTTCTTTATAATCAAAAGAAAAATGCAATAACTAAACCAGTGGCTTTTTTTGGCAGCTTATGATTGTTGTTCGACTATGAACCCCCCGAAAACATATACATCAAATGTGTTTTTCGATTTACTAATCAGAGTATTCCTGTATTTCTCTTTCATTTGGCATTTCTATGGATTCATATGCAAAAAAAAAGAAGTGTCTATATAGGAAGAAAATTTTGTCCTTTTATATATAAAGTTTCAAGCTAGAGCCTATTTCGACACTGCTCTGACAAGCAATTTTGTTAAGCATCATTTGATACTTACGTTACAAACATAGCGAAATCTCAACTTGATGGTAAATAGAAAACAGAACAACAACGATTTCGAACGAGCCAAATGAATACAAGCACATAAACACTGAACAAATGCAAGATATAATCGTGGTCTGGCTAGATACTCATACCGTTATTTCATACTACCAGAATGCGATGACGCAACTCCAACACATCGCAAGTATCGACTTCATTTTCATTTTCTCTGACGATCCGAATCAAGGAGAACACTGTACTAAAAAGTGACCCAAGGTGAAGGGTGTTTTTACAGACATTGAAATTATTAGTCAATAGTTAGGAAAAATCATTCATCAATATGAATTCAATACCATTCCGATGAGTTTTGTACTATCTGGTAAAAGATTGGATCAACTCGATCCATCATTTATATACACACAAATCATCAAAGAAATACTGATCCATCAAGTTTGAAGACAAACACAGAAAAGAATTCGTGAATTATTATTGTGATAGATTTGTTGACCATGAAACTTATCAAATGAAAGTGAAGCAATTGGAAGATAGATATGACGAGAAAACACCTATTTGGTGGTACACAACAGAGAGATTCCTCTTTAGCACATTGAACCGTGCATTGCGAGTGATGGATGGTGAAGTGATCACATAGATGGGATTTTTTGTCGCTGGTTTACACCGACAAATTGATCAGCTGCACAAAAAACAATATAGAGATGTCTCGTCTGCCAATAGCTTCACAGTGTATCGTGGTCAAGGTCTGACAAGGAAAGATTTCAACAAAGTCGTGGCGGCTAAGGATGGATTGATGTCGTTCAATAACTTCTTATCTACCAGTTTAAAGCTTGATGTATCCTCAATGTTCCTTCCAACTGGTGTACAGAACCATGATGTAGTAAGTGTTCGTTTTGTAATGACAGTTGATCCAAAACAATCGACAACACCTTTTGCTTCAGTTGGCCGCATCAGTCAGTTCCCAGTAGAAAAAGAAGTTCTGTTTTCCATGCGCAGCATCTTTCGCATCACTGATATCAAGTCAGTGGAGGGAAATGAACAGTTGTACGAAGTGAATTTGTCGTTGACTAGTGACACGGATCAAGAGTTGAGCGTGCTTAATAAGCAAATCCGAGAAGAAAGTTTTCCAAATATAGAAGGATGCTTTCGATTAAGTCTTCTACTATCCAAGATGGCACAAACAGATATTGCTGAGCGAATCTGTAAAGCTCGAATCACTGAAAGCACATGTGAAGTTCTCACAGAAAATATCTATAATCAGCTGGGCGTGATTAAATCACAGCAAGGACAATATGAAGAGGCTATGATACTTTTTAAGAAATCTCTTATATTTTGCCCTCGATCACTTCCTTCAAGTTATCCTTATGTAGCTTCATCCTGGAGCAACATCGGTGCGCTGTATCTGAGCATGAATGATTATACAAATGCACTTTCATTCTATGAACAAGCTCTCAAAATTCGGCAGCAGTTACGTCCTCCGAATCACCCTGACGTAATTACGTCCTACAGCAATATCGGTGGTGTACATTGTGCCACGGGTAATTATTCGGAAGCACTTTCATCATGTGAACAAGCTCTTGCAATCCAACAACAATCGCTTCCTGCTAATCATCCTGACATCGCCACATCCTACGGCATCATCGGTATAATTTGTTTCAAAATGGGTCAGTATTCGAATGCCCTTTCCTGCTGTTAATACGTCCTCCAAGTGGCAGAGCAAGCGCTACCACCAGAGCATCCTACCCTTCAACATTACAAGAAACTCTTTTAAGATATGCAAGCTACAACTCATCTTTCTATTCCCTCATGAAAAAGATAAATTTACGTGTGCATTAAGAAAAACATTTGCCGCTTATTTTGACCTAATTCAGAGTACTATTCACGAATGTACTAAAGAAAGTAAAATCCCATAAACTTGTACTTTGAAGAAACAATTCAACACTGGTATTGCAAATCTCACTAGTATAACGACATTTTCGCAGAAAATGATGGGAAAAATAATAGTGAAAATCGTTCGATAATCGATATTCGGAATACTTATTCACAACCGTTAGTTTATTTCGAAGAGTCCTCCTTACCCTTCACTGCATTCGCATTTACAAATAATCAAATCACAACACTGATTATGTAATCACATACTTCACTTTTCTTCGATCAAGGATGTCAGTGTTACTAGACATTGCATCATGCTTGTTTTTTGACCAAAATTACGCAAAAACTGTATCGCTCCCGAGTGGATTTGAACCACCTGTGCTCCGACTAACAATCGGCTGCGTTTACCACTTACGCCACAGGAGCACATCAATTTATACTAAGCAGAGTATTATATTTTGTAGAAAGGAAATTATTGTGAATATACATAGCGGAGAAATATCGAGAACACATACAAAAGCAAAAGAACTACGAAAACATATCGGTCTGTAGTGTTTTTTACTCTATATTATTTGATAGTCAATGGTGTGGAGTCCAGTGGAATTGGTTTGACGTATCTAAGGTATTCGGATGTCGTCTTATATTACGGGGTATTTGGCGTTCTTTCGTTGTTTTCCGTTCTTTAGGTTTTTCCTGTTCGTTTTCTGTTTCCTTCGATTCTGAATCGTATTTATCAACGATGTTGCATTTCAGCTTTTTAAGTATCACAATAATGATCGGCAGAATAAATAGTTTCATGACCAAGAATAAGAGACCAAACATTTCCAGACAAACAATGAGAAACACAATATTGTGAAAGATAATTTCATTTAGTTTAGCAATCGGACTTTGCCGGTTAACGACATAGTAAGGTGTTTCGCTAAGGACAAGTGAGACAGATGTTTCCGAAATGGTTTGCACTGCATAATCCGTTATGCTGATGAGCATTTGATCAAGATTGACGAGAAAGGTTGGAATAAACAGTCCAGAATATTCACTTTCATGTGCGTCATCGATTGGTTCGGTAATGTTGATAACTTTGGTCAATTGCATAGTAATAGTCGAATCAGGTGCTATCATCCGTCCATTCCCGTAGTAAGACTGAGTAAAATTGAGTTCCCGTAAGTGATATGCATCCTCTTCACTTGATGGTGCCGTCATACTAATTGTTATCGCGCCGATGGGAAGAACACCGCTTAATACTATCTTAAGATTGTCATTTAGTGACGTTAGAGCAATCGAAATCGACAGGATTGTGCTGTTGCTGGTTGGAGACGTACAACTTGCTGGTACAATTGTTGCTGGAATAGTCAGGCGCATGTTATAAATGGTCACAGAAGCACAAGTAAGTAAGGTATTGACAAAGCGTATGTTGAGTATGAATGTTTGATTATTCAGCATTTCAAATATTGGCTCTTCTTCGGAGTTTGGTGGTGTTCCAAGAAGTTGGACCGTAGTGCTGAATTGTGCATTACGAATACTCACATCACATGCAAACCATGAATCATCTGATGTTTCGATCGGATACTGATGATAAAACAAAACACTGAAGTGAATAGCAAATGCAATAAGTATAACAACAGCCATAGATGCCAAACCACCAGTCCACATTTCTCCTTCTCTTACAAGATCGGCATGTTTAGAAGCCATTTTTGCAAAATGAAATAGTTTACTTGTACGAGGAAAGTAGTTTAGAATTAACATAATGATGAGTATCAATACAGCCAGTCCAACGGCAACTAGAGCCCAAAACGATGGTGAAACCATAAGACAATGAGTTGTTGAACCAATAGAAAACATATTTTGGACGAGAATTTCATCGAAAATAGTCGATTCTGGTGACAGAGGATATGAAACAGCCTGACTAATGATATCCAATTCTGTTTGCGGTACATCTCCAACGGATGCCAATGGGCAGAACGACGTGGTGTTACATGCTTCACACGATATGCCATATCCTCCTGGATTTTTTGTACCAGCCGGACAGAGGCTGCATGGTAAAATACTTGTAGTATTTTTGTACATACCACCCAGGCATCCTGTTGGGGTAGAAAACGAAGGATTACGACCACCGCCAACATTTGTTTGCGAGTATAGACCTGATGCTGACGGTAGAATAATATAAAAGTTACCCAGAATATCTAATACGCCAAGCGACGTAGGCGTTGAGATAATATTAAGAAATGATGGATTGAAAGTCGTTGCGCCCAGTGTTTGCTGGCTGTTGGGCCAACCAGAAATCAACTGTGGACTTGTTGATATGTTTGAATAAATTTGTACTTGTGATGAGATCCATTCATAGTCAAGAACGGTGTAGATATTGTTGAGAATGGCGGCAGTCGTGCCAGCACTATCCAAGAAGGCCACAGCTTTGCCAAATCCGACAGCAGTTTTTCCATTACTGATGCTGTTGACTAAGATAAGATTCGTTGGACTGTTGACATTATTGATAGAAAAGGCGAAAGCAGTATTGATACTTTGAATACCGACAAGTACAAGACCACCGGTATCACTAATATCAATGGACATATCGAAACGTGCTGCGTACGAATCTGCACCGAGATTGGTCAATCCCTCCTGCCAACTACCATTCGAAGCGGCGTAATACCAAGTGTCTTTGATGCTTCCCGATGTATCCATGAGGTAGACAACGGGTTTAAAGAGTTCTGGAGCAGTAAGAGATGCATTGGTGTAGCCAGCCAGTACTACTGATGAGTTTTGTACATCTATTGCATGAGGCATGAAACCAACGTCGGGGAGAGAGTAGTTGCTTATGTAGGAATATGGAGAAGTTAGTGGATATATGAAGAAGACTTTTGAAATGGCGCCGTAAGCTACTGAACCTGTTGGATCAACGTTGATAACACTGAATTCTTGATGTGTATTGGATATCTGTCGCGTATACCAAGTGAAACTACATGACGATGAGGAGTTGGACACAGCAACCCCTATAAAAGCATTCCCAGTTGAATTTTCTCCGTTGAACACAAACTGATGTGTTACTTGGTTCCGACCAACAGCTACCGAATAGATATAGAAACTCGGTGTGCCAAAAGTGCACGTAATCGCTGGTACTGAATAATTGTATGGAGCAAATTGAACAATTACGGTTTGTGATTCTGGTTGTACTAAGACCGTCATATGGTCATTAGCAGCTGCTTTGTTACCATACGCATCGAAATCAGTTAGATCGGGTGAAAATATATTAGATGATCCAGGACCAGTTCCACCTACGTTCGCTTCATACAGCCGTATAGTTTGAACGAGAAACAGCAGCAACTCGTATGTGTGACACAACATCTTGGCGATTTGTAAATAATGTCGATGGTGTGCAACTGTATTTATTAGCGCCTGTCGAATTGACATATCATTAGTAATATTTTGTTTATTTTTCTTTAGCCAAATTGCTCTAAATTACATAGATATAACCATGATATACCAATGTACTTTTTCCGTAGTTTTCTCACCTTTGATATAATGAGCAAACATCATTTACAGTATGTACGAAGAAAAACTTTGAATTTAGATAAATAATACAACATAATCATGAGTTGACAACATCAAAAGTAGAGTTGTCATTAAAGCGAGCACGATTATTCTCTGTAGCCTTCGTCGAACCAAATAGCAATCTAATTGGCAATCAGGAGTTTTTTTTGCTATAATCAATTGTGAACATCAGAATGGTTTTCTCTTTCATTTTCTTCAAATACAAATTCTATTACGGATCATGGCCCCAGTCAAAAAGTCAAACTTCACTTTTATTTGAAATAGAAAGGGTGTGGGTGACGGTGAGGGTGTGGGTAAACTCTAATTTGAAAAACACCTTGGATTATGTTAGGGTCATATCGGCCACAAACAATCGCTACTCCCTGAGAAATACTGTTCACTAAGACACTATGGAATAGTTGAGTAGATCAACGTCACAAGAAAAATTCTTTGAATTTGGGCTAGACCTTAGCCCATTATTGATTTTTTAGATCGATTTTTACGAAAGATCGAGAATACGTGGTATAACGGTTTGTGTCACAGTTCATCCGACACAACCAGAAAGAATACGTCATGCTCATTAGCCATCATGAATTCAATGTGTTCGGTATAGTTTCCGTAGGAAACAGTTCAACATATGGACTGTAACTAAATAATGCGAAAGTATGTTTGGATCCAGTCAAGAATCATCTGAATCTTAGCAAATAAGCCGAAATCTGTGTTGAAACTGAATATTTGCTTATAATAGAATACAATCACAGTTGAAAATCGTAGCTGTGTCGAGCCTCCGACAAGGATATTTGCCACATTCGTGATACATTTCTGCATGAACTACAGTGATGGACATCTGCTTGGTCATGTTCAATACATTTACAGAAACGACGTTTTGCGAACAAGTAGATGTTATTTTCATATTAATATTTCCCATCGATATTGACTTTTGCTTTATTTTGACTGGAGTAGCGAGAACTATTAATAAAAGTTTCAATGTGGAATATTCCAACATTTCTTCTACGCGAACAAGACAAGAAAAAACAAAGAACCGAATCAAATGAACTCCTTGTTCGGTTAACATTTTGAGACAGGATTCGCTTTAGGTAGCGGTCTCAATGTAACACTATTTGATGGCATAACAGCTACTGCTTGCTGTTTACAGATGAGAACTTTGAATGTTTTCAGCACTTCGGGCATTGACATCAAACAAACCATTGGTAGAAGTAATGGTATAATGTAGATGAGAAAATAAAATGTATGCGACGCGTCGAAAAGGAAGTCTGGATTGATGAAATTTTCGCCGAATTGAGTGACGACAACAGGAATCCAAATTGCAAGATATAAAAATGAGATCATGCCTAACTGTAATCCCATTTTTCGATGACGATGCCAAGTATTCTGTATTCGACCGCGGACAGTCATGTTTCGATAAATCACACGACCAAAAAGAAGAAGATTGAAAATTAAAATAGCCGCGATTGGCAACATTGTATTTAGAAAAAGGTCGACTATACCCCAAACTGTGAATAAATAACACGGCAAGCCGCATGTAAGTGTATCGTAATATCTTATCGTTACACACATTGGGCTAAAAATAATAGTAAAAGCGTAATATGAAGGTGGCCATAGTGAACAAAACAGCAAAGGAACGATATGTAACAATTGTCGTTTCCAACGCGCAAGATTTCGAAGGAGAGTATCGTGAAAAACTAGTAGATAACGTTCTATCGATATCCAAGCCATAAAGAAGCAGTTGACGATATTCAAAGAAAAATCATACCATACCCACCATATGCAATACGCTGATGTTGCCGNGATAATTTCATTTAGTTTAGCAATCGGGCTTTGCCGGTTAACGACATAGTAAGGTGTTTCGCTAAGGACAAGTGAGACAGACGTTTCCGAAATGGTTTGCACTGCATAATCCGTTATGCTGATGAGCATTTGATCAAGATTGACGAGAAAGGTTGGAATAAACAGTCCAGAATATTCACTTTCATGTGCGTCATCGATTGGTTCGGTAATGTTGATGACTTTGGTCAATTGCATAGTAATAGTCGAATCAGGTGCTATCATCCGTCCATTCCCGTAGTAAGACTGAGTAAAATTGAGTTCACGTAAGTGATATGCATCCTCTTCACTTGATGGTGCCGTCATACTAATTGTTATCGCGCCGATGGGAAGAACACCGCTTAATACTATCTTAAGATTGTTATTTAGTGAAGTTAAAGCAATCGAAATCGACAGGATTGTACTGTTGCTGGTTGGAGACGTACAACTTGCTGGTACAATTGTTGCTGGAATAGTCAGGCGCATGTTATAAATGGTCACAGAAGCACAAGTAAGTAAGGTATTAACAAAGCGTATGTTGAGTAAGAATGTTTGATTATTCAGCATTTCAAATATTGGCTCTTCTTCGGAGTTGGGTGGTGTTCCAAGGAGTTGGACCGTAGTACTGAATTGTGCATTACGAATACTGACATCACATGCGAACCATGAATCATCTGATGTTTCGATCGGATACTGACGATAAAACAAAACACTGAAGTGGATAGCAAATGCAATAAGTATAACAACAGCCATAGATGCCAAGCCACCAGTCCACATTTCTCCTTCTCTTACAAGATCGGCATGTTTAAAAGCCATTTTCGCAAAATGGAATAGTTTACTTGTACGAGGAAAGTAGTTTAGAATAATCATAACGATGAGTATTAATATAGCCAGTCCAACGGCAACTAGAGCCCAAAACAATGGCGACACCATAAGACAATGAGTTGTTGAACCAATGGAAAACATATTTTGGACGAGAATTTCATCGAAAATAGTTGATTCTGGTGACAGAGGATATGAAACAGCCTGACTAATGATATCCAATTCTGTTTGCGGTACATCTCCAACGGATGCCAATGGGCAGAACGACGTGATGTTACATGCTTCACACGATATGCCATATCCTCCTGGATTTTTTGTACCAGCCGGACAGAGGCTGCATGGTAAAATACTTGTAGTATTTTTGTACATACCACCCAGGCATCCTGTTGGAGTAGAAAACGAAGGATTACGACCACCACCAACATTTGTTTGCGAGTATAGACCTGATGCTGACGGTAGAATAATATAAAAGTTACCCAGAATATCTAATACGCCAAGCGACGTAGGCGTTGAGATAATATTAAGAAATGATGGATTGAAAGTCGTTGCGCCCAGTGTTTGCTGGCTGTTGGGCCAACCAGAAATCAACTGTGGACTTGTTGATATGTTTGAATAAATTTGTACTTGTGATGAGATCCATTCATAGTCAAGAACGGTGTAGATATTGTTGAGAATGGCGGCAGTCGTGCCAGCACTATCCAAGAAGGCCACAGCTTTGCCAAATCCGACAGCAGTTTTTCCATTACTGATGCTGTTGACTAAGGCAAGATTCGTTGGACTGTTGACATTATTGATGGAAAAGGTGAAAGCAGTATTGATACTTTGAATACCAACAAGTACAAGACCACCGGTATCACTAATATCAATGGACATATCGAAACGTGCTGCGTACGAGTCTGCACCGAGATTGGTCAATCCCTCCTGCCAACTACCATTCGAAGCGGTGTAATTCCAAGTGTCTTTGATGCTTCCCGATGTGTCCATGAGGTAGACAACGGGTTTAAAGAGTTCTGGAGCAGTAAGAGATGCATTGGTGTAGCCAGCCAGTACTACTGATGAGCCTTGTACATCTATTGCATGAGGCATGAAACCAATGTCAGGGAGAGTGTGGTTGTTTATCTGGGAATATGGAGAAGTTAGTTGATATACGAAGAAGACTTTTGAAATGGCGCCGTAAGCTACTGAACCTGTTGGATCAACGTTGATAACACTGAATTCTTGATGCGTATTGGATATCTGTCGCGTATACCAAGTGAAAGTGCATGGCGATGAGGAATTGTACACGGCAATCCCTAGAAAAGCATTCCCAGTTGAATCTTCTCCGTTGAACACAAACTGCTTTGCTACTTGGTTCCGACCAACAGCTACCGAATAGATATAGAAACTCGGTGTGCCAAAAGTACACGTAATCGCTGGTACTGAATAGTTGTATGGAGCAAATTGAACAATTACGGTTTGTGATTCCGGTTGTACTAAGACCGTCATATAGTCATTAGCAGCTGCTTTGTTACCATACGCATCGAAATCAGTTAGATCGGGTGAAAATATATTAGATGATCCAGGACCAGTTCCACCTACTTTCGCTTCATACAGCCGTATAGTTTGAACGAGAAACAGCAGCAACTCGTATGTGTGACACAACATCTTGGCGATTTGTAAATAATGTCAATGGTGTGCAACTGTATTTATTAGCACCTATCGAATTGACATATCATTAGTAATATTTTGTTTATTTTTCTTTAGCCAAATTGCTCTAAATTACATAGATATAAACATGATATACCGATGTACTTTTTCCGTATTTTTCTCACCTTTGATATAATGAGCAAACATCATTTACAGTATGTACGAACAAAAACTTTGAATTTAGACAAATAATACAACATAATCATGAGTTGACAACGTCAAAAGTAGCGTTGTCATTAAAACGAACACGATTATTCTCTGTAGCCTTCGTCGAATCAAATAGCAACCTAACTGGTAATCAGGAGTTTTTTTTTGCTGTGATCAATTGCGAATATCAGAATGGTTTTCTCTTTCATTTTCTTCAAATACAAATTCTGTTACGGATTATGGCCCCAGTCAAACAAGTCAAACTTCACCTTTATTTGAAATAGTAATGCTTAAAACAACGGAACACAGTATCATGATAAATACGCGCGTGAAAGGCAACTGTACGACGAGATGCCATCTCTATATACAAGATTTTCTCAAAACTCGATACTGCATACAAAAAGTACGCGTCAAAACAAATTACAAGGTTTACAGGAATGAATTCGAGTGCCTTCTCCAGAATTACAGTTTCGGCGTCATTTCTTGGTCAATTATCATATTCCATCAAACACTCACTCGCAACCATATGGGTACAAACGATGAAACAGTTTTACCGAAATCTTCTCTTTCATTGAGGGTGTGGGTAAACTCTAATTCGAAAAACAACTTGGTTAGGTTAGGATTATGTCGACCACAAACAATCACTACTTCGTGAGAAATACTGTTCACTAAGACAGTATGGAAAAGAATATAGTTTTAATAAAACACCAAATTGACGAATACAAAGTGAGGAGCTCTTTCAGCGCTTGCATGCATATAAATCGCGGATCTGCACGGAATGTATCTCTACTTGAAATACCATTGATAAAAGTGAATTGCGATGGTATTGTTAAATTTCGACCCAGAGTTTGTAATTGAGTAGATCAACGTCACAAGAGAAATTCTTTGAATTTGGGCTAGGCCTTAGCCCATTATTGATTTTTTAGATCAATTTTTACGAAAGATCGATAATATGTGGTATAACGGTTTGTGTCACAGCTCATCCGAGACAATCAGAAAGAATACGTCATGCTCATTAGCCATCATGAATTCAATGTGTTCGGTATAGTTTCCGTAGAAAACTGTTTCACCTATGGACTGTAACTAAATAATGCGAAAGTATGTTCGGATCCAGTCAAGAATCATGTGAATCTTAGCAAATAAGCCGAAATCTGTGTTGAAACTGAATATTTGTCTATAATGGAATACAATCACAGTTGAAAATTGTAGCTGTGTCGAGCCTCTGACAAGGATATTTTCCAGGTTTATGATACATCTCTGCATGAACTACAGTGATGGACATCTGCTTGGTCATGTTCAATACATTTACAGGAACGACGTTTTTCGAACGAGTGGATGTTATTTTCATATTAATATTTCCCATCGATATTGATTTTTGGTTTATTGTGACTGGAGCAGCGAGAACTATTAATAAAGGTTTTAATGTGGAATATTTCAACATTTCTTCTACGCGAACAAGACAAGAAAAAAACAAAGAAACGTATCAAATGAACTCCTTGTTCGGTTAACATTTTGAGACAGGATTCGCTTTAGGTAGCGGTCTCAATGTAATACTATTTGATGGCATAACAGCTACTGCTTGCTGTTTACAGATGAGAACTTTGAATGCTTTCAGCACTTCGGGCATTGACATCAAACAAACCATTGGTAGAAGTAATGGTATAATGCAGATGAGAAAATAAAATGTATGCGACGCGTCGAAAAGGAAGTCTGGATTGATAAAATTTTCTCCAAATTGGGTGACGACAACAGGAATCCAAATTGCAAGATATACAAACGAGATCATGCCTAACTGTAATCCCATTTTTCGATGACGATGCCAAGTATTCTGCATTCGACCGCGGACAGTCATGTTTCGATAAATCACACGACCAAAAAGAAGAAGATTGAAAATTAAAATAGTCGCGACTGGCAACGTCGTATTAAGAAAAAGGTCGACTATACCCCAAACTGTGAATAAATAGCACGGCAAACCGCATGTAAGTGTATCGTAATATCTTGTCGTTACACACATTGGGCTAAAAATAATAGTAAAAGCGTAATATGAAGGTGGCCATAGTGAACAAAACAGCAAAGGAACGATATATAACAATTGTCGTTTCCAACGCGCAAGATTTCGAAGAAGAGTATCGTGAAAAACTAGTAGATAACGTTCTATCGATATCCAAGCCATAAAGAAGCAGTTGACGATATTCAAAGAAAAATCATACCATACCCACCATATGCAATACGCTGATGTTGCCGGTTGTACGACACCGTTCAAATAATAAAAACTTATTATCATAGGAAGGTCAATAGCGACTTGAAGAAAATTGACGAACAGAAAAACAAGTATAGAATAATTTTTATATGTTAAACGAGTCGTACGATAGTAGGCAAAGTAAATAAAGATCGACAATGAAACGAGTATCGAAGGAACTTCGAGTGAAGCTAATAGGACAAATTTACTTAGATTTTCGGATGAATAGCTTGGAGTTGCAAATGTTTGGTTTATCGACATTTTGTAATCTGATAAAGACATTCTTTCTTTAGAATAAAGTCGACTATAGGATAACTTATAACTTTCAAGATTAACTTTTCTCATTTTTTCAATTTAAAAGGTTTCGAAAATCGCTCATGAGATTATGACTTTTGTAGTAATTATTAGGTCAGCACACTATTCCTTACAACTGAGATAAATGTGAAACCTACATATATTTTCTGACTTATTGATTAATCGAAAAACAAACAAACAAAGTACGCCTGATGAAAATAAAAATTTCTGTATGAAATTTCCCGCTTATTGGTGAGGGCTTAGCTGTAAACTGTTGGACAGAATATCAACCATGAGATGCAACGAGCTGAAACAGAAGGGGCTGATGAGAAAGAGAAAATCAAGCGAATCAACATTATTTTCCACGAACCGTCAAAGGACGGCTCCAATGCAACACGCATTCTGATCGGTACCAAGACCTACTCCCGTGAGTATTCACAAGAGGCTCACATTCTCCATTTTCAGTTGGTTCATCGGACGACATTTGGTTGACGAAGTTTTATCGACACAATACTCTGTCGAATTTTATACTGTAGAAAAATGTTTCGTCGAAAGATAATTGTATTTCTCTTTTCATTTGCTTATGATCGGGACGAATTTCACTGTTCTCTAATTATCGAGTTTGTTGCAAATAATAATGATCTACATCTGTATTTATTTTTTACACTTTTCTATTTGCGCTTCACATCACGTTGTGACTCGCTAATCATTAACTCAACATGTGTACTGATGCTGTGAAGTTTTCCACAATTTGAAAAGAAAAAAAAAGGAGTAATAATACGTAGTGGCTACATGTACACTTTGCATAAGAATAATATGGATGTCAAGTATTGGCGATGCAAAGAACACCCTTGTTGCTCATACCGATAAAAAAGGTCATGTTACGTATCATAATGGTCACCACAATCATTGTCGACAAGGATTTGATGACCAAGTACGTGTCGACGAAGGAGCTTTCGACCAGCAACATAATTACCATCTCTCACCATCGCAACAGGATCTAATTCACTTGGAAATACTTTATTCACATTTGCTACCTCGACATACCCTTCTGGTGCGGAGAATTCATTAGAATCAGCTCGAGCATGGATGGCTGTGATTTATGATGCGATAGAACGAACGGCTGTCAATGAAGACAAAGCCGAGTGAATCTATCAGAAGTAGCAAAGTCAACAGATCCAGTTTTACTTTCTGAAGCTATTAAGTCAATTAGAAGATTTGTTTTTTTTCGATAAAGCACTTTTTTAAATCTAAAAATAATTTGAATTAAAATCTATGTTTTTGGCAGAATTATAATCTCAGGTACCTATCGAATCTGTCTATTGGGAATCATGCGATCGAATAGATCGATCTTAGAGTAATAAGGACTAGATCAAATCAATGTGAACCTTAAATGTAATCAATGATATTAAACGAAGGTGCTTCAGCCGATGCGTATATAAATAAAAAAAGACGGAAACTTGCTTGATGAACATTTCATATGTCTGTTATTTGAAGTTACTACCCGTCTTTTCATTAAATTTGTTTATTCATTTATCGGAAATGCAATATTTATCATGCACCAATGCCTATACTGAAGAATTCTTCTCGTCCATATCGATATTTGTTTGTTTCATTCTGATATTATTAAATATACTTGTGGCTAGAAACATAGATATTTACATTTTGTTTCTCTCTAGCTTGTTGACTTCTATCCCAGAATTCGTTGAAATGATCTATGAGAGAAGGGTAATGAACGACGAAAATTTTAGCAAAGACGATATCTGTAACAAAGATTTACCGCAATCTACGACTTAATCCAGAAACAAGTACCTAAAATGCTTTGATAAAATTGAATTAAGATGACCACTTCGGTTTGGTAAATCAGCCAACATCGCCATAATCTATGGTTATTAGTTTATATCGTAAGTGATCACATTATATTGTCAATGGCTGAAATGATACAAATGGAAAAGCAGGATTTCCGTCGACTCCGATTATTCGTACCGTTCGTCTTGAAAACTACAACATTTTACAAGAAAATTCTAATTATATCATTGAGGTAAATCACTTCGTCTTCTCTATATAGTTGTTCTCTCACGATATTCAACAAACACAAAGACCGCGCTGATTTATTCCTGTATCGATTAGAGACAAATACTATTTGCTCAAACGTCTAATTTAGTCTTATTCGATATTTCAACTAAGAATGAGCAGTAATGAGATTTCAGTAAGTTGGACAGGCGAGTACTGCTCATTTAATAATAAATCAGGTTTTTATAAATGTAAAATGAGCCACATATGTTCGTGTTTTCTTTCTTTTGTAGATAAAAGCTTCTCCCGATAAAATCATTGAAAGTGATATGACTGAGAAGATCTATCATTAGCCTTCGTTGGTCTGTTAATTGAGATGAGCATACTTCATTGAATATTTTTCGTCTCTTGCCATGAAGTGCTCATTTCTCATCCTAGTGAGGCTTTTCTTTCGCGTAGCTGACAATTTTTCGTGCATATTGGAAGATGATTGGAAATTCGCTTTTGCAGATTAGAGTCCCACAAAGCTCAAGGAAATATTGAATGCACTTAATTTAACTAAAGTTGTAGTCAATCGAACATGTGGATTGATGCTAAATGCAAATTATGAGGAAGAGATTTTCACTTTAGACTTGTTTTCGACTGATTTACGAAATACGGCGATTGATGACGATTGCCTATTTCATACAGGACTCATATATGCAAATCATGAGAAGATTTATCTTCATAAATGGACTAGAAATTACTTGTCAAGATTATGACGATTGTCAAAAACGTTTATTATTTTGATTTCATGGCACGGTTAATTTCTTCAAGGCATGCCTATTCGGAGAGAATACTCACTCCGCTCATCCTCGACTATGGCTGATCAGATGAGTAAAAACTAAATCACACTAGAATGCCAATCATTAGTTTCAAGTAGTATAGAGAATCTTGTAGGATGATGCTCTACTGCTCGCGCATCATATTCAAGAACGCTTCTTCAGCTGTGCTTCTCTTTCACAAACTGAAATCGATCACATTGGCATCTGAATGTCATGATTCTAACAAAGCAGAATGTATTCTGTCTAGATGACAGAACAAAAGATTAGGATAGCACACATCAAAAGATATTTCAGAAGTAATTTATATGATCAAAAGTGAAAACTAGGGCCACGAACATATGTCATTTTGATTTCTAATTCAAGTATCCAACATAAATATCATACGCTTCAGTCACTATTTATGGGTACAATGCGTCGATGTCTCTTGATTCGCTCACGAATCTTCCAATATACCTGTAGACTGCCCCAAATAACGATAGGCAACCCTTCAGTCAATCCACCATATAAACCAAGAATCGTAGTCAACGTGTATACAAAATCATTTCTTTCGACATATGTGTATCGACAGTTCGATGGTGCACATATCGAGTAATAACTCGAATAATTAGACGAATTCTGCCATGATTCGATGAACAACTCATCGATCAGAGTACCGATTGGTGTTGGTGAGATTGGTGTGAAACGACTTGGAATCGATTGATTTAAGGGCGACGGAACAAATGAACTATTGACAAATACAGCTAAATCTGTCAAGCATTCTGAACTGTAAAAACATTCGAGAGTTGAAAGTCGAAGGCCATGAACAGGTAAACATCCGACAACAAGACCTAAAAGCAGGAAAAAGTTGAATTCTATTCTTCATCAATATTTTACCGGCGAATGTTGCTTGGTTGTTCATATTCTGCAGCTTTGACCTTGTACATGTCGAGGAAGTCTCACATGAACAGAACTGGCCACTTTCATTTACTGAAACTGGACTTGTTGATAGATAGTGTAACTCTCCAACAGATGTTGTTACTAGATTCCAATTTGTTAAGAGAAAATTTTGAAATTGATTAGCATGAAGCATGTCATTGACATATTCATGTGTTCGTCGAAAATCACGAGGCGTTTCTCGTCGAAAATTGCTCACAACCGAGTGAATTTGATCATCGAATGAGTGTCGTGATAATGGCTCGACAGTGACGAGTTCTCGATTCGATAGTGTTCGTATCCTTTCCTTAACGGTGCTCTTTGCAAGAGAACATAATGCTGCCAGCAGCCGAAATTGCGTACTCAACACTTTACCATCAATGAGTTTAAAATACACGTCGCTTCTATTGGACCCCCAAAGAATATTCAAGAAGCGAAATGAAATAAAGTCACTTGAACATATTTGATGATATGCATTTGGCTCGATTGAGAGAAATTCGGAAAATGAAACTGCAGTTTGTGAACATGGGCAAGAAAGTTTGGATGAATATTTTCTTTGGAGAGATTCAAAGGTTGATTCGGATGGAAAGGGAATTGTGAACGAATACTCTGATACATTGAAGGCAATAACGTTGATAACAATGAGAAGGATGATGATGAAGAAAATGACAAAAACACGAGTAGCGAAGCGCTGTCGTTCGATCAACAAGATATCAGCAGATGTTATTGTTGGAGGATCTGATGAGGGACGAAAGCGTCGTTTGTCATGCAAGTTCAATGTCTGCACATAGTTTTTGAACTTCGCATATTTTTGAAGAATATTTCGGCGAGAAATGCATAGATTGAGTATGACTTCTCGTCGAATGTCATTAGGATGTCGATGACAGCAACGATTGGCTTTTCGACATAGTTTGACAATGAACGGAATGAGTATCGTAAGAGTAAGGGAAAGACCATCGATGATGCCAAATATTGTTGCAATAATAAACACACGATTAAAACGCTGTTCAAAAGTATAAGTACATGTGAGTGGTGCACATTGCTGATAGAATGCGGTGAAGTTAGTTTTGTTGATCCACTTTTCGATGAATAGCTGTGAGACGATGTCTTCTAGTTTGATCGTGGGTGGAAAACGAGTGTTACGCATTGGATCGAGTGGAGTGACGTTAGTGAAACCCGAATCGTTTGATTGGGCTGTGGTGTCAAATGAACGCCATTCGATGAGCATTTGAATGCATGATGAGTTGTAGAAACACTCGAGTGTTGATAGAAGAAGAGAGTCGATAGGTAAACAACTTACAACTAAACCGAGTATAGTCTGATTTGGTCTATTCTTCCATACTTTACATTCGGTCGCGGTACAGTAAAAACCTTGTGAACGATTACAATGAACACTTTGGCCACATGAACAGTTAGATTCATAGTAATTATTTGGCACAAATCGGTATGTGAAAGTACCACTGTTATTGAGTCGCTTGATTTTAGAATTTGTGTCACCAAATACTATAAATTGATTCAGCTGAATGGATGCACGAACCAGTCGAAATATTGTCATAAATGAGTCAAGAGTCTACAATAATCAAAGATCTTTCTCCATCCTCGATTCAAATCTGCAAATTTATCATAATTTGCTTCCGTCATTGTCGTATGAATCGTGAATATAAACTATGTATATTATCTAAGTACTTGCGCTTGCAGAACCCTAATTTATGATAACCTATGTTGCTTCATGCAGACAAGCTGTGCAACTGCGAAACTTCTCAAGGAGGAAAAAGCGAGACTTCATCTGTTTCAGATAGTATTTGAAGTACACTGAAGTATTAGCGAAATGATGGTGAAGTACGGGTGAAGTATTTGAAGTCTCCATTTTCTCCCTTTGGAACTTCCACTGTTGGACATCTTCTTCCATAGGATCGTTTTTTTTATCTCTGAATAACATACAATATTATGAAAGTTTTATTACCTGTTGTTGCAATTGAAGAATTAGAATGGATGTTTGAATATCGAATGTATCTCTTGACACAACATGTGCATTGATGAATTGCATTTCATTGAACGCTCGTAGTTGATTTCTCACCGTTTCATTCGATAATCGACATAATGACTGAAGTATGCGAAATAGTTTTGAACCCTGACTTCGAAAATCCAAGAAAAAGGCAAATACAGTTTTTCTATTGAAATATGATAACCAAGCATTGTCGTTGACAAACTCGCTCGAACATACTTGATGATATTCGACTTCGAGATGAATAATCCAAGAATAAGACACAGACAGATGACGACATGGACAGATCAATGTTCTGCCATATTTACCATACAATCCTTCATATTCGGTTAAACNGGGATGTGCAAATTTATTAGCAGATAAAAATGTTGCGCAGGTGACAAAATACTTAATGTGTTTAGGAAATAAATACAGAATAAATGGAAAGAATATTGACTACTGATAAATACAAATCTAACGTGTATGCTCATAAAATCATAGTTGGAAAAAGCTTTTGATAAATGATAATGTTGATTTCCGTACAGCGTGCATTTCTTCATAGAGAAAAAAACACCGTTGTAATTTGCACATATTTGTTCTCAAATAAATGAGATTTCCCTCGAAATTTTATTGGTCTCTTCTTATCGACTTTAGTAAAGCAACACTTATTACAAATGAATACATCAATACAAAACTAAATTTTAAGATGCACCACCATAACAATCAGAAGTGAATGACAGAATGTATTGGTGTAGAATTACTAGTTTCATACGAAAATGACCCCATCTGGCTTTTAGTCAGTACACGTATGCCGCGAATATTCGAATGACCTTTTCTAGTCAAGACTGTTGGAGTAGCTGCCTAATTCGACTTATAATATAAGTGCTCAATTCCTATAGCCATCTAATCCTTTCCTAGGAATAGATTTAGTTCTTCTTATACGGCCACCCACGCCCATGTTAATTTAGGAATAGTTTTAGGAATAGACTTAGTTTCACCTATTGCGCCGCATCCACCCCCTCACACTCCTCGTGGCACCCTCAAGGAACAGACACATGCGAATGGGTGTGTGGGTATAAGTAAAAGTAAATCTATTCCTAAAACTATTTCTGTTGGTATGCATTTATATTCGAATAGATATTAGTCTGCTGGGGGTCCATTTATAATATAAGTCGAATTAGGCAACTCATGGTTGGGGTCGGAATATAAAGAGTAACCTCTGTATTTTTCGTTGTTATCGTGTATTTTTGTACATAGCAAAAATAACAAAATTAGATTTACATTATTGGATGTATGAAATAGAAGAAAAGGCCAATTGATAAGGATTTCACATGTTTGTTATTTCCAATTGTTTTTGCTCTCTTCTCAATTTGATTCACTCAAACCTCGATGAAGGACCGTTCTCGTCTCTGTCGATTTTTTCTCTTTATTTTGATACTATCAAGCAAAAAGTTTGTTCTATCGGACACGAGTGTTGCGTGTCGATTCGATGAACAAGATGATAATATCTTTTGGATCGGTGAAACAATTACCGGTTTTGTTGATTTCGTTCACAAGGATAGTGCAGACTTAAAGTTAGAACGTATCGATGGTGAATTAATTGGTGAAACCGTTACCAAAGTGCTAGAAGAAACCGAGAATGGTAATGTCGAAAGGAAAGTGGAAGAAATAATATTCAATCAAAAAATCTTCGTCGGTCCGCTTAATACAAAAGGTTCGTTTTCGGTAGAACGTGGCAAACACAGTTGGCCATTTCGTTTTCAACTAGCTGACGATCTACCACCGTCGTTCGAACAGAATAAGACCGATGTCTTCAAGGTTCACTATTATATCCGTTTTTCGTTTGTTCGATCGGAATGGTACCGATTCAATATTCATAAAACTTGTCCAATCGTCGTGAGACAACCAGGAAGACTTTTGCCTTTAACTAAACTGAAGGCAGAGAAATCAAGTCGAAACGGTGTTCGACTTCGTGTTATGCACGACAGAAATGTGGTCATTGCTGGCCACAAACTTTCCTTCAATGCGAATTTCATCAATCCAAAACAAGCTTTGATACGACGCGTATCGATTATCCTTACTGAATATATTGAATACGATGGCCGAGAAAAATCTGTCGATATTATCAAACAAGATTTAGATTATATCAAAGCATTGAAAGATAAGCATATCGATCGAAATTTTCAAATACTTATACCATCAACAACTCCGGTGACATTTACATTTGCCGATTCGACTGCGAATCATTATAAACTTCGCTTTGAAGTTCATCTACGAGGAATATTTACCAACATTAAACTTGAAATTCCCATTGTTGTCATGGACCTAGTACCAGATGTAAACGATAATGAAAATGATGAATAAATCTATTTTCTATCGAACAATAAAATACTCGCTTTCTATTTGACGAATTTTATCAATTTAAAAGTAGCATTTCGATTTAGTAGTTTTGACCTCTGAAATGACATGACCTGTCATATTCACAAGTGACTACCACAGCTTATCTTTTTCAATTTATGATTACACCTTTAGGATGAAAAGTCAATATTTTTGTATTTCAACATTTATTTGATTATTCTATAGTGTTCTATCAAAACAAAGTAAATGTCATTAATTGTCCCTTCTCAATACCAATATTGTGTTATTTGATCTGGTCGTGCAGGATAGCCATATTCAAATATTATTGTAATTTGTCGACTCGCACTGTCAAATATGATATCGATGTCGATTCGTTTGTATAACTTGTTGACAAAGATTCGTGTTCGACAAGGGCCACTCTGCATTCTAGTGAGTGACATTAAATTGTAAATGTATTGGCAAAACTTAGGTGCATCGAATTCGCGCCATCCATCCACTCTATGATAAGTTCCTCTCGGTGGCTTAAAACGGTGATTGTACTCTACTTCGAACTCATCGTAAGAAAATTCTGAATATTCGAAAGTAGGAAAACGAAACGTAAAATCGACTCGACCATTGTGAACCCTTCGTTCTGCTTCGCAATACCAATCTATGCCATTTCTATGCAGATTGAAACGGTGTTTATCATTACCGTGTTCCAAATGGTTGCTGATGATATTAACGAACTGAATGTTTTGAATATATTTCACCATTCCATGTTCCACAAATTTTTCGAAAATAGTAACATGATTGTCTCCGTCATTGGCGTCTTGGCTATCAAACATTTTAGCATCTTCAATGGACTGCTGCTGCATGTATCTTTGTTTGGCCATAAAACAACTATTTGAACTAACATAAACTTCTTTTCCATGCATTGTTTTTAAATAGTTTCAGTTCATCGGAAGATTCCTATATTGGTTAGTGAAGTCACTGGGAAATTTTGTGCTGATTCATTCGTGTTTGCCAGTAAAGAAACAACGATGTGTGTGGCATATGCATCGAGCTGGTGCCATTCGTTTGTGCAACTCCATGACGAGCGAAAAAAATGAAAAGAATTATTTTATTTGCTCTTATAATAATCGTGATTTCATTGTTAAATCTATTCAAAAGCACCCATTAGCTTCGAAAAAGATATTGTATGTGCTTTAAATTTTCCTTTAAGCTCGTTCACCTTGGAAGATACTGATGATGGAATTCGTTATAGAAGAGAACGCTTCGACACCAGTGAAATTACACTAAATTGTGCTAGTAAACAAAGAGAAAAGAAGCGCATACTGTTGTTGTTGCAAAGAACACGTGGCAGAAAGAAACTTTACATCTTTTTTTTCATAAAATGATTGTGTTGAGAGAAGAAAACAATCATTGTTAAATTGCAGTAAATCAAATCGTTGTGAGTATGTTGATGAAGACAATGTTACTAGTTACAGTTCTCTTCTACACACTGACAATTGTCACTTCGGCAACAGACACATTTGGTGAGACTAAAAGTTATGCTCATATTGTCTTAATCACGTCACCTTTCAATGACCAAATGATANATAAAATGATTGTGTTGAGAGAAGAAAACAATCATTGTTAAATTGCAGTAAATCAAATCGTTGTGAGTATGTTGATGAAGACAATGTTACTAGTTACAGTTCTCTTCTACACACTGACAATTGTCACTTCGGCAACAGACACATTTGGTGAGACTAAAAGTTATGCTCATATTGTCTTAATCACGTCACCTTTCTATGGCCACATGATTCCAATCTTGGATTTTGCTAAACGTTTAGCTGTTCATCATCATATTACGTACATTGTATCAGAATCCAAACGTCAGATGCTCACAAAACGAGGATTTATCGACGAAAGTCAAACAAACTTACAAGTAATTGGTTTATTTGATGATAATAATGACGACTATGAAGTAAACTCCTTCGTATTAGAAAGAATTAGATCAGCATAGAAACAAGGTTTTGTTCTCTAGGCAACTGATGTTCATGCCATCAATCGGATACAGCTAATACTCGATCGAATGCGTAAGCCACTTCTACGAGTACTGTTCTCGACGTCGTCATCTTCGGTATCAACTAGTTCAATCAGCCGTCCTATTAATTTAATCATTTCGGATTTATTCATTTTACCACCAATATGGGAAGGTTATAAAAGAAATATAGTTACTTATCTGTTTGTACCGAATAATCTGAAAGCTTATTTGGCTTATATGGATGCATCAGTAGAGAGAGTAAACAGTAACGAGGCGGGTCTTGATTTCGATCGTTTTTTACACAAAACCATTTCTCTCGCTAAAGGGCTTATATGTAATTCTATGCGTGATCTAGACAAAAAATTCTTAAAAGAATTACGACACCAAACAACAGTGCCTGGTTCAGATAAACCTGTTCACTTTGTTGCTCCGCTCATGTCTGAAGATTTCAATCAAAAACAAAATGTAAGTCTCATTCAAATCCAAAGGAAATGATCAATTGTTATTTTGTTCAGACAGCCGATGCGGCAAATATTAAACAATGGCTAGACGAGCAATGGGTGAAAGCCAATCAAACACCATCAGTGATTTATATTAGCTTTGGGTCATGGGCATATCTTCAAGGTAAACAGCTGAAGGAAATTATTCGTGCACTCAAAGTATATCCTATCATTTGGTCATTGAAACCTAATCTACAACGATCAATTTCATCATCTTGGATAAATGAAGACAAGCATCTTCTACTTCCATGGGTACCACAACGTTTGGTTTTAACGCATCCTGCAATACGTCTATTCATCTCACATGGTGGCTGGAACAGTTTACTCGAAGGCATGTTCGCTGGTAGACCGACACTTATCTGGCCTCTCTTTGGAGATCAAATTATCAATGGACAACGGTTAGACCATGAACTCGGCATGGGTCGATGTTTACAGGCGACAGACTATGCTAATGGGCAAAGACTTGTCACTAGCGATGAACTTCGGCGACATGTTGACGATATATTCGATCAAGAAACGGATTATATTCGAAAAGCGAGAAAAGTTCAAATGATGATGTTTAATGCGCGTGAAAATAGTTCACGAATAGACTTGGAGAAAATTATCAGAATCGCCCATAATCNGTATGATCGAGCTCGAATAAAAGATCGTCATGGTGATAATGATCCTCATAAACGTGCGAAAGAAATAATCAAGAAACTTGACATAAACCATGATAAGAAAATAAGCAAAGAAGAATTTATTCAAGGGTATGTTTAACTATTCCTCATTCTTCTTTTATATTTCAGAATCGGTTTTTCCTTTCAATTAGATGTCAACGTGATGAAGTCATTGCTAAACTTCTGGCTCCTGCACTGTAAATAAACAGTGAATATGGTTTTCCAATGACTTTGATATGCACACATATACTAATTAGAATATTTTAGCCTTTCAAGCGTAGAATCATCTTTAAAAGCATCGCTGTCATACAACAATAGCTTTCTCTATCCGTTAGTTTATGAATGTTGTAAAAAGTGAAACAAAAAATGTTCAGTTTATCTGGCCTTAATACACATGATGTGCACTTACGCATCTATTTTGATTTAAATAAGCAAAAAATATACTCGACAGAAATGTTTTATTATTATTAAATTACTCTTCAATGTAAAACATTCATTCTATAGTATTTCATTTAGCAAAAAGAATATTTTGATCTGAGTTTTGATTCTTTTTCTTATTCACCTGCAATGCATTAGTTTTTGCTTTGAAATCAATGCCATTTTCTGCTGCAACACGTATTTCATTGAAATATAAAGTAGCACACACAAAAGATTGTCGAATAAAGAGCAGTACACAGAACAAATACTACACCGTGTTAGGTGTTCAATATTGAATAAATCAACATTTTCTCTAGAATTTCCGTGAAATATGGACAAAAAGATAACAAAGTTCGTTATCAGTCATGCAAATATGTTCACCAAATAATCAATTTTTCAGTAAATAGGCCGTCCATTGTTAGAAATTAGGATGCTAGCAACGAAAGAAAATACCGACATTGCGTCACTATAAGGATTGGTTGTAACTATATCAGACATGCTACTGATTGTGGAGAACTACCAGATAGATAAGACACTTGAGAATAGAATGTTCCATCTCCCATATTATGAAGAAATCAAACGGCGTTAAGCCAGTTGTTTGCAATAACTATGTCTAGATAATTATCGGCAACCGAATCCCTAATCTCAATACCGACTAGATTACTACCGACTCAATAATTAACAGATGAAGAAAACACTGACAATGTTACTACGATAGTTGACTGTGAGTAAATCGAATCTGGAATCGGAATTGATAGCAGTAACTGCCATTCCATTTGGGGCGACACTAAGTGAGTAGTTCATGTGAGAAAAGAATGTAGTGTTACCTGTATTGAGATAAATATTCACAAAGTCTGTACCTGCGTTTACCGTGACTATATCAGACCTTGCATCAGAATTGAGATCAACGATTTCTACTGCAGTTAGAAAGATATCAGTTGAATAGTTGACACGTAGAGTGTATGTTTTGTTTCCTCAGTGGAGAAAGATGTTGAGAGTGTTTGTATCAGTATGATATCGAGTACTGAGTCCTTGTTTCGATCATGAACTGCTAATGCTTGCGGATTAATGGCAGTTGCATAAGTGGTGTAATTGAAATATACGATGCAGCGTACTATGAAGAACAAAATGATAAAAGTTAAAGTGATTACAAGATTTAATGAGCACATTCGAAGTCTTCGGCGTTCTTTAAAGATGTTATGCTTCTTCACACAAGTTTGTCTTAATCTTAACTACGGAATAGCATACATTTACAGCCTTCCTCCAATTGATACAGGTGCGTGTAGTTTCTCACTGAAAATTTTATGGTAATAAAGTATACAGTAAAACTCCGCTAATCTGAACACCAACGGCGGATTTTTGAAAATTGTTCAGAATGACGGAGCGATCATAAAGGAGGGGTTTTATGTAAGAAACATTTTTTCGGTTTAAATCGTATATTTACACCATTTACTATTGAAAAACATGTACTGGAATGACTTTGAGCGAAGACGCGACTGATAAAGAGAGAATCCGAGTGGTAGTTCATATTCTTATCCGCTCTCAAGATTTCTATATACGATGGATGACTTTCTTAAGAGGTTAATACTGATCTAACTACGTAGTAAAATTCATTTTCCTGTGTTAAATAGTCATTTATGTTTCTGAATTCAACTTCGAATAGTGCGTTTGTTGGGATTTTACATTTATTTTTCAGTTCTGCATTTGGTTTCTAATTCTTATTCGACTCATAATCACGCACTGATTCTTCAGTTTTCCCCTCAGCCAATGGAGTTCATCGCGTTTATAGGTAGTTCAAAATGTGATAGCACCCTCTATTATGTTCATATTACAGAGAGAAATTATGCGGTTGGGGCAGAAAAAAAAGCGTTCACATTCAGAATCGAGAGGATTTTACTAAAGAGGGGGTCAAAACCAGCAAAAATCGCTCGGAGGGACCAGAGAATGTTTCGTATAACAGGTTGTTCATTAGGGAGGGGTGTTCAGTAAGCGAGATTCTACTGTAGTTTTCAACACCTAACACGTGACTTGACAGTGATTATATAATCGAGGGTCATTTATCTTTTTGGATTCGATTATTTCCTTGCTCAGTCACAAAAATGTTTCCAAGCGAGCCAAAATGAAGGGATGACAGATTCTTTGATTGATTAGAATTAAGCCCTGTCGGTCGATTACATTAAAAAAAAACCAGCGAAAACCATTTGAATTCTGTCCAATGACTCGATTGTTATGAGAATCAACAATAAGTAAGTATTTCCAAGTATAGTTGTTCAAATAGGAACCAACCAAGAATTTCATGTTCAGTTACGAATATGTCAAAACATTGTCAACAGAAATCTATTCATGGAATCGAAGTTAACTTTGTTGAATTCGATTCGATTTCACTCACTACACGAATCGATGACTAAAAACAAATGAACAAGAATGCTCTGCATTGAACTCATATTTTCCAGAAGAGAAACAAGAACTGATCCATTGATTCGACTGAAAATATAATTTGTACTATTCTGATTGGCGAATAAATCAAGTGGATCTACTCCGACTACAGTTTCGTTAGCGACTGTTGTACCATTTGGATTCCATGTGGAGTTCGAAAAAATACCTGTATGGTCGATTGTATGAGTAGCCTATGTTCACAAAATTATTTTTACATATAGAATCGCGATTGCAATTATTGAAAACAGTTACCTATAGTGTGTGTTGACGTCACTAAACAGATCAATAAATCCAGTATCTCTTTGAACATCATTGTAAACAAATGAACGGTTTTCTCAATTTCAAACAACTTTGTATATTGACAAATAAAGCCATGATATAGAACTTCGCTCAAGTTTAACTTGCTGACACATCAAAATGGTGAATTTATAGATCTTTCACAGAGAGTTTTTAACAAAGCAAATCGACCTGAGTGCTTTTCACTGAAAACAAATGCCTGTTGGGGCAGGAATGTAAGGAGTAACCTCTGTACTTTTCGTTGTTATCGTGCATTTTTGTATATAGCAAAAATAACAAAATTAGATTTACATTGGATGTATGAAATAGAAGAAAAGGTCAGTTGATAAGGATTCCACATTTTTGTTATTTGCAATTGTTGTTGTTCTTTCCTCAATTCGATTCACTCTAACCTCGATGAAGGACTGTTCTCGTCTCTGTCGATTTTTCCTCTTTATTTTGATACTATCGAGCAAAAAGCTTGTTCTATCGGACACGAGTGTTGCGTGTCGATTCGATGGACAGGATGATAATATCTTTTGGATCGGTGAAACAATTACCGGTTTTGTTGATTTCGTTCACAAGGATAGTGCAGACTTAAAGTTAGACCGTATCGATGGTGAATTAATCGGTGAAACCGTTACCAAAGTGCTAGAAGAAACCGAGAATGGTAATGTCGAAAGAAAAGTGGAAGAAATAATATTCAATCAAAAAATCTTCGTCCGTCCGCTTAATACAAAAGGTTCGTTTTCGGTAGAACGTGGCAAACACAGTTGGCCATTTCGTTTTCAACTAGCTGACGATCTACCACCGTCGTTCGAACAGAATAAGACCGATGTCTTCAAGGTTCACTATTATATCCGTCTTTCGTTTGTTCGATCGGAATGGTACCGATTCAATATTCATAAAACTTGTCCAATCGTCGTGAGACAACCAGGAAGACTTTTGCCTTTAACTAAACTGAAGGCAGAGAAATCAAGTCGGAACGGTGTTCGATTTCGTGTCATATTCGACAGAAATGTGGTCATTGCTGGCCACAATCTTTCCTTCAATGTGAATTTCATCAATCCAAAACAAGCTTTGATACGACGTGTATCGATTATCCTTACTGAATATATTGAATACGATGGCCGAGAAAAATCTGTCGATATTATCAAACAAGATTTAGATTATATCAAAGCATTGAAAGATAAGCATATCAATCGAAACTTTCAAATACGTATACCATCAACAACTCCGGTGACATTTACATTTGCCGAATCGGCTGCGAATCATTATAAACTTCACTTTGAAGTTCATCTACGAGGAATATTTACCAACATTAAACTTGAAATTCCCATTGTTGTCATGGACCTAGTACCAGATGTAAACGATAATGAAAAGGATAAATAAATCTATTTTCTATCGAACAATTCTTGCATGAAAATTGATTTCTCTCGCTAGCATTAGAAATACACATAAGATAAAATACTCGCTTTCTCTTTGACGAATGTTATCAATTTAAAAGTAGCATTTCGATTTAGTAGTTTTGACCTCTGAAATGACATGACCTGTCATATTCACAAGTGACTACCGCACCTTATCTTTTTCAATTTATGATTACACCTTTGTAATGAAAAGTCAATATTTTTGTATTTCAACATTTATTTGATTATTCTATAGTGTTCTATCAAAACAAAGTAAATGTCATTAATTGTTCCTTCTCAATACCGATATTGTGTTATTTGATCTGGTCGTGCAGGATAGCCATATTCAAATGTTATTGTAATTTGCCGACTCGCACTGTCAAATATGATATCGATGTCGAGTCGTTTGTATAATTTGTTGACAAAGATTCGTGTCCGGCAAGGGCCATTCTGCATTCTAGTGAGTGATAATAAATTGCAAATGTATTGGCAAAACTTAGGCGCATCGAATTCGCGCCATCCATCTACTCTATGATAAGTTCCTCTCGGTGGCTTAAAACGGTGATTGTATTCTACTTCGAAGTCATCGTAAGAAAATTCTGAATATTCGAAAACAGGAAAACGGAACGTAAAATCGACTCGACCATTGTGAATCCTTCGTTCTGCTTCGCAATACCAATCGATGCCATTTCTATGCAGATTGAAACGGTGTTTATCATTACCGTGTTCCAAATATTTGCTGATGATATCAACGAACTTAATCTTTCGAATATATTTCACCATTCCATATTCCACAAAGTTTTCGAAAATAGTAGTATGATTGTCTCCGTCATTGGCGTCTCGGCTATCAAACATTTTCGCATCTTCAATGGATTGCTGCTGCATGTATCTTTGTTTGGGCATGAAACAACTATTTGAACTAATCTAGACTTCTTTTCCATGTATTGTTTTTAAATAATTTCAGTTCATCGGAATATTCCTATATTCGTTAGTGAAGTCACTGGGAAATTTTGTGCTGATTCATTCGTGTTTGCCAGTAAAGAAAAAAACGATGTGGCATATGCATCGAGCTGATGCCATTCGTTTGTGCAACTCCATGACGAGCGAAGAAATGGAAAGAATTATTTTATTTGCTCTTATAATGATCGTGATTTGATTGTCAAATCTATTCAAAAGCACCCATTAATTCCGAAAAAGATATTGTATGTGTTTTAAATTTTCCTTTAAGCTCGTTCACCTTGGAAGATACCGACGATGGAATTCGTTATAGAAGAGAACGATTCGACACCAGTGAAATTACACTAAATTGTGCTAGTAAACAAAGAGAAAAGAAGAGCATACTGTTGTTGTTGCAAAGAACACGTGGCATGAAAGAAACTTTACATCTTTTTTTTTCATAAAACGGTTATGTTAAGAGAAGAAAAGAATCATTCTTAAATTACAGTAAATCAAATCGTCGTGAGTGTGTTGATGAAGAAAATGTTACTAGTTGCAGTTCTCTTCTACACACTGACAATTGTCACTTCGGCAACAGACACATTTGGTGAGACTAAAAGTTATGCTCATATTGTCTTAATCACGTCACCTTTCTATGGCCACATGATTCCAATCTTGGATCTTGCTAAACGTTTAGCTGTTCATCATCATGTTACGTACATTGTGTCAGAATCCAAACGTCAGATGCTCACAAAACGAGGATTTATCGACGAAAGTCAAGCAAACTTACAAGTAATCGGTTTATTTGATGATAATAATGACGACTATGAAGTAAACTCCTTCGTATTGGAAAGAATTAGATCAGCATAGAATCAAGGTTTTGTTCTCTAGGCAACTGACGTTCATGCCATCAATCGGATACAGCTAATACTCGATCGAATGCGTAAGCCACTTCTACGGATACTGTTCTCGACGTCGTCGCCTTCGGCGTCAACAAGTCCAATCAGCCGTCCTATTAATTTAATCATTTCGGATTTATTCATTTTACCACCAGTATGGGAAGGCTATAAAAGAAATATAGTTACTTATCTTTTTGTACCGAATAATCTGAAAGCTTATCTGGCTTATATGGATGCATCAGTAGAGAGAGTAAACAGTAATGAGGCGGGTCTTGATTTCGATCGTCTTCTACACAAAACCATTTCTCTCGCTAAAGGACTTATATGTAATTCTATGCGTGATCTAGACAAACAATTCATAAAAGAATTACGACGACAAACAACGGTGCCTGGTTCAGATAAGCCTGTTCACTTTGTTGCTCCGCTCATGTCTGAAGATTTCAATCGAAAACAAAATGTACGTCTCATTCAAATCCAAAGGAAATGATCAATCGTTATTTTGTTTAGACACCCGATGCGGCAAATATCAAACAATGGCTAGACAAGCAATGGGCGAAAGCCAATCAAACATCATCAGTGATTTATATTAGCTTTGGTTCATGGGCATATCTTCAAGCTAAACAGCTGAGGGAAATTATTCGTGCACTCAAAGTATATCCTATCATTTGGTCATTGAAACCTAATCTACAAGGATCAATTTCATCATCTTGGATCAATGAAGACAAGCATCTTCTACTTCCATGGGTACCACAACGTTTGGTTTTAACGCACCCTGCAATACGTCTATTCATCTCACATGGTGGCTGGAACAGTTTACTCGAAGGCATGTTCGCTGGTAGACCGACACTTATCTGGCCTCTCTTTGGAGACCAAATTATCAATGGACAACGGTTAGACCATGAACTCGGCATGGGTCGATGTTTACAGGCGACAGATTATGCTAATGGGCAAAGACTTGTCACTAGCGATGAACTTCGGCGACATGTTGACGACATATTCGATCAAGAAACGGATTATATTCGAAAAGCGAGAAAAGTTCAAATGATGATGTTTAATGCGCGTGAAAATAGTTCACGAATAGACTTGGAGAAAATTATCAGAATCGCCCATAATCAGGTGCTTTCTCAGACGAACTGGCATGTCGAACTGTGAAAATGATTTACAGTATTCAATATATAACTAGAATTTTACCTAGTTGCGCTGTAGAAGAATGATCCGATGTGTTTTCTGTATACGATGATTATCGCTGAACATATCACTATTTCTTTGATAGTCGGAAAATCATGAATGCAGACTAATTTTCACTGCCTCCGTAGAAATTGCACCAAGTATAATAGGATAATTTTTGTTTAGAATATTCTGATTTTATTTGATTGGATAATATATCCGCCCTCGTCTATAGTGAGAAGAGCGAAACGGTGGCCATAACAAAAGTAGCACATACGTAAGTAGATATATCTTATCTAATTTTACTAAGATCATCATTTACTTCTGTTGTTTTTTTTTGCGTTAAATCAGTGCCAGAGCACATCGGTCGTTATTTCATAATGAGTTCATTGTTAGGAAACCACAAGGACAAGTAACCAAATACATTAATCCTACAACAATGAACGCAAAATGGCTCTACTAGATTCAGTCACACTAAAGACAATTTTCAGATTGAATTGAATACTATCATCACGAAGAACAATAATGAATGCAATGTGGGTAAAGTCAGTGATTTTTGCTCATTTTTTAGTTTTCTGTGTAAATATAGTTTAAGGTTCAGGAAGAAGTTCATTGACGATTAATCCGATATATCACTATTATCCACAGAGATAGATAAATTACGGACGTGTTGATAACCAATCTTTAACTCAAAACATGAAAACGTATTAAATCTTTTTTTCAAAATCTCAAATACTTACCAGTATAACAAATAGCATACCAACAGAAATTTGATGGCTGGAAAAAGTCAACAGATAGTACTTGAGCCTCGTCATTCACATAGCAGAAATCATTACCGGAATAATTCGCCAGAACTACAGATCTATTCAATAAATGTGCTCAAAACGGAAAATTTCTCAACAAAGGTAAAATCACCAAAGTAATCTGTTTCTCGAAGGATAGTCTATACCCTACTGCCACAAACTCAGACTCGTATCACTATTTCTCAAATCTGGTGAATTAGTAGGAACGAATTATACCAGAAAGAATACTCAACGAGCGCTATAGACGAAATATGACCGTTGACGAGCCTTCTTTTTCTTCCTTATTCGTTCACATCGCCCAGAAAAGTAGTGCGAATTCTTGAACTTTTGCTTTTCTTCTTTGATTGTGCTTTATATATTCTCCTGTATTTATGTGGACACCTTCACAGTATAAAAGGCACAATCGTGCTGAAATAAATGAAGAGAAGACAAGACAGTCAAATATATTAATAGTTCCTTGCTAAATCGGTTACGTCAAAGGGATCTCCTGTAATCCCAGGACTAGCGGAAGCCTCAGGTGCTAACATTTCAATGAAATTGAGTTAATAAGAGTATATAAACGAAAAATTGCGCGAGATTAATATTTGAAGAAAAATCTTAGTTTAAGCACAGAATTTTCAATCGCAAAAATCTTTCCAAACAGTGTCAATAAATAATACGTCTTCAATAAGCTCGATAGATGTAAGAAAAAACAAAGAGTCTGTCGCCCACGCAGTAGCTAAATGTGTTTAGATACGAGTATTTTCTCTATAAGAAATGAAACAGAAAGAAGAATTCATGCGACGAATAACTTATACAGCAGATGAAAATAATTCAATATTGACAAACACATAAATAAAATAAAATAGTTACATAAATTTCATGAAGAAACACTGCTCAGGGGTAGCTGACATTCCTCCATTATCTGTCTATCACACTCATAAACATTTTCAGACTCGACGAAGAACGATTTGAAGTGATACCAATTCTTTAAATTTACTCTTTAATTTTTCTTCCTCTATGAAAATGTAATGCAAAGTAATATATCTCCGTTTTGCTATATTTACAGATTTAAAACTGAACTCGATAGAGATATTTTATTGGCTCACAAGAAAAAGTAGTTTCCAAACTTGTCATTGTAGAGAAAACAATTTGAATCGTGAAACTGAGTATGTTGTTCTTCTAACCATTCCATTGTCAATGGCTTTGATTGTTTTAAACATCGTATTCTAGTTGGTTGGGAACTTTTATGAATAAATACCGATAAGTAACTCAATTTTGACATATTTGATAGAATATAATCGATCGTGTGAGTGGAATTTTGAACACCTACTGTTAAATGCTCACATTTATCTCTAAAAATTGNACTATGCTAATGGGCAAAGACTTGTCACTAGCGATGAACTTCGGCGACATGTTGACGATATATTCGATCAAGAAACGGATTATATTCGAAAAGCGAGAAAAGTTCAAATGATGATGTTTAATGCGCGTGAAAATAGTTCACGAATAGACTTGGAGAAAATTATCAGAATCGCCCATAATCAGGTGCTTTCTCAGACGAATTGGCATGTCGAACTGTGAAAATGATTTATAGTGTATTCAATATATAAATAGAATTTTTTACCTAGTTACGTTGTAGAAGAATGATCCGATGTGTTTTCTGTATACGATGATTATCGCTGAACATATCAATATTTCTTTGATAGTCGAAAAATCACGAATACAGACTAATTCTCACTGCCTCCGTAGAAATTGGACCAAGTATAATAGGATAATTTTTGTCTAGAACATTCTGATTTTATTTGATTGCATAATATATCGGCCCTCGTCCATAGTGCGGAGAGCGAAACGGTGGCAATAACAAAAGTAGCACATGCAACTTAAGACAAAAATAACATACTTAAAAAGATACCCAGATCAACAAATCTGATGCTGGATCCAATCGGATCCGACCGAATTCCTAGAAACAGAAATGCATTGGAATCTAATGCGATTCCATCACCAGGATTTCATCGAACCCGTCGAATTCCTGCAGGATTCGAGAAAATCCTATAATGAATCCGATTATAGGATTGATCGACCTGGGACAGAATTTTTAATCACAAAAATCTTTCCAAACAGTGTCAATAAATAATACGTCTTCGATAAGATTGATAGATGTAAGAAAGAACAAGTAATCTGTCGCCCACGCAGTAGCTAAATATGTTTAGATATGAGTATTTTCTCTGTAAGAAATGAAACAGGAAGAAGAATTCATGCGACGAATAACTTATACAGCAGATGAAAATAATTCAATATTGACAAACACATAAACTAAATTAAATAGTTATATAAATTTCATGAAGAAACACTGATGTATGTGAGGAAAAAATATACCGTTGCCTGACTATGTAGATCTTGGCCTATAAAGTCATATAAGAGTTAAAAAGAAGCAGAGACTCTACTAGACTAAAGAAGAAACACTGCTCAGGGGCAGCTGACATTCTTCCGTTGTCTGTCTATCACACTCATAAACATTTTTACGCTCGACGAAGAATGATATGAAGTGATGCCAATTTGTTTAAATTTACTCTTTACTTTTTCTCCCTCTATGGAAATGTGACGCAAAGTAATATGTCTCCGTTTTGGTATATTTACAGATTTAAAAATCAACCCGATAGAGACATTTTATTGACTCACAAGAAAAAATAGTTTCCAAACTTGTCATTGTAGAGAAAACAATTTGTATCGTGAAACTGAGTTTGCTGTTTTTCTAACCATTCCATTGTCAATAGTTTTGATTGTTTTGAAAATCTTATTCTAGTTGGTTGGGAGCTTTTATGAATAAATACCGATAAGTAACTCAATTTTGACATATTTGATAGAATATAATCGATCGTGTGAGTGGAATTTTGAACACCTACTGTTAAATGCTCACATTTATCTCTAAAAATTGAGACGATTCGTTCAGTTTCATATCGAGTTACACATTCCGATACGTTTTGACAGAATTCAAATTTCAAAACACGAATTTTCTTCGATAAATGACGACATATATGAAAATCATTCCAATCGTCAGTTAATTTGGCCAATCGACTTTTTGATAGAGTTAACGAGTATAAATGAGGCGTATTTTCTAATAAGACTCGAAATTGCTCGATGGAAATGTACCCATACTCATCAATATGTAATCTCCGTAAATTAGTCAATGCATGTAACCACGGTTTAGATTCAAACTGCGTACGAACTATCAGATTATGGATTTTCGTTTGATTGAAATCGTCATTTGGTAGTATATAGTTATCGAATATCAATGTTTTCACATTTCGATAGACGTTAACGTGATTGTCGACGTGTAACGACGACATGGTCTTCTTATAAGAGTTTTTGTATATTGTTAATGTTTTCATCGGATATGGTAGCGTGTAAAATATCGTTTGTTTATAAATACGTTGATGTCTTGCCGAAGCACACAGATGACAATTGAAAAACCATTTCTTTTCTTGGAGAAAGAATGGTGTTGAATATGAAGTCATGATTTGTTTCAAGTCTTGTGTGGATATTGGACGAAATATGAAGTAAAACTGAAAGATTTCTAATAATGGACATGACGAACGAACGAGTTCTTCCCATCGATGACCAAACATAGGTACATGTTGCGTTTGCAGTTGATAAATTTCTAGTTTTGTTAACTGAGATAAAGGAACGAGAGAGTCGAGTATTAAGGAATGTGCAGTTGCAACCATTAAAACAAATTTGAGATGCTTAGTTGTCCGTGGCCAGTTGAGTTTATCTTTACTCTCACAGGCATGATCGATTGTATATTCAATCGTTTCAAGTTGAGAAAAGTTCTAAATAAAAATCTAGATTGATAAAGACCGAAACGCTCGATCACCTACTTGAATCCAATCGATATGTAAACAAGAACCGAAGACAAGTTTTTGAAGTTTGGGTAAATCAAATGGTAAAATATCTTTTCCACATACTGAATCGACTGATAAAGAAACAAGATTAGGTAATGATGATAGCATAGAAAAGAATAATTGTCGAGTATTATCTTTTAAGCATCCCACAGACAAAAATCGTAATTGAGAAAAGTTCTTTTTGGAAATATAATTTTCAATGAGATGATCGATCCAGAATGGCTTTCGATCATCATCAGATAGTCGTAATGATGTCCATTGGTTTGTATTTTGCACGCGAAAGATGGAATCACATTGGAATTTATTGATGAATTTGAAATCAAATTTTCTGCAGTACTGCGTGATTAACAATTGAAAGCGGTGATTTAACTTTTCAAATGTAAGAATTATATCAAATGATGTTAAATATGTAAAAAATTCGATGAATAATTCATTGGGTAAATCTTCTAAGACGATCACACCACTCATATTTTCTTTGTCGTTGTTGTGTACGAGCAAAACAATTTGCGACGAATCTTTCTATCCAACTCACGTGTGTTGCATAATATATATTGAGTAATTTCGTCATCATAAGTAAGAACATGACTACATGAAATCATATTGATTAATAGAGGTCGCTATGACTCTGATCTCTTCGAATATGCATCGAATTGGAATCGCCTAGTGTATATTTTATCAATAAATTAAGAATTGAGTTTATGATGCTGACTCATCGTCTGAGTACTATAGGCAGAAGTAGTGCGTTGTCTGAACTCAAACGAAGATCGAAAATTACAACGAACTGTGACAGCAGGTCGAGTAGATAAATAACAACAAAATTACAACGCATTTCATTGATCAGAAATGAAATGTATATACACTAGATTGTATTGCATAATTTTACTCTTTCAATTCTGACGTTATTCTCAATATATAAATAGAAAGATAGACGAATGTGCACAAGAAGGCGTGAATGTAATTTGTGCATGTAAACACAGTTTTAGCTAAACTGTCGTGTGATACTCGTTTTTATATACTCAATACTAGAACCTATAAATGTAACGAGATTCGATTTTATCTTAAGAGCATAATCATTTATTAACTAAAATGAATTTCGATCGATAAAAGCATATTTTTCAAGCTGATAAATGAAACTTCATTTTACTATTTTTTACAACAGCAAATCATTCTGGTCCAAGATAAATAGAAGGAAACAACAGTTATGTAAATACTTCTCCATAATCATTTCTTTCCATATAATGATCCTGTCGTCTTCCCGACTAGTAATTAGGTATTTACCTATGATTTTATTTACTTTTCACATGATTAAAACCATCTCATGTCGAATAAATTATGAAGACAGTTTTGACGATAAATAGTGGCTACCATATACGATCCGCCAAATTCTTTATATGAAATCTTGTGCGATTCGGCGGGGATTTTCACTCTTCTTCCTAACCATGTTACACACTTCAGCGGATAAATATCATAGAATAATCTCGACTGATACTTGAAACTGTAATCCGATAGTTGCAAAATAACGGCGCTTTCACCTTCGTATTGACGTTCCCACATCCAGATATCAACATGTGGTTGACGTGCTGACTTCTCATTCGGCGACGACAATGACAGCAGTCTTCTCTCTGGATAGTATTCCACATTGAAATCATTCTCTTCGAATCTTTCAATGAACACTTTCATGTCGTTAAGTTCTGAATGAGCATGATTTGATAGGAATGGCCATTCGATTGATAGATCCACGTCTTGGTCCCATACATTGTATGTCTCATTTCTGAGAACATTCAGTAAGGATTGACAATCAGGCCAATAGGTGATTGACAGATCGTCGAACATGTTCATGACTTGATGAGTTAGTTTCATGTTTTTCTTCGAGTATTTGTCAGCTACAGCGCATTGACCACGTTGATAGTAGAGTTCGAAAATAAGAATAAGTGTAATGATGAGAAAGAGAGAAGAGAATACAATGAGACGAGTGATTCCAAGTTGTTTGATGAGTGGAAAAGGAGGTTTTCTCTTGTGTGAATAAGAAGCGATGGAAATGGACATGCGTTGTAGTAAGTTCATCGTTTGTAAAGAATATCTAAAGAAAGAGTATGGTTTGACTGTAACTAGATAAGCGTAGATTTCTACTCTTCACTTCTTTCAAAAGTTTTTTTTTTCTATTCTGTTAATGTTCCCGTAGTGATTTCTCGCACAAGACAAATTTTCTTTTCACCGAAGTATATGCCAAAAGAAAGTAAATTTGTTTGAGGGTGAGAGTGTGAGCACACCAAGATCGCACCGTCATCCGCTTTAGGATCACGGCGAAGGACGACGAAGCGATGTGTTTAAATAGAGACGACTCATTTGATGGTTGAAGTTGCTAATCTGCCTGATGAAATTCTACTTCATATTTTGAAGTAACTCAATAGTTTCGGTATTCTGTATTCATTGGTTGATGTTGATGAAACATTCGATCGAATAGTGCGTGATAATAATTTCACCCAATGTATGGATTTATCGTCTACCGAATCGAATCACGTCATTAATTAAAAAAATAGCGCAATATTAGATCGATTACGTACAAGTATATTACCTCAACTTTGCGATCGATCTGAATATCGTACTCTCCGAACGTGTAGCACTGTTCAGACAACGTACGCAAAAGAAGATACTGCATTCATTGAAAACCATTAAGTAATATAGTAAGTAATAACATACACCGACTAGTCAGATATCTTCAGACTACATTTTCTATTTCATTGGTCAGCTCATGTAACCTTTTCTTCGTCGAAGGGTATGCTTGGACGAGACTCCTTTGTTGATGAAAGTTATGTGGATGATTTCATCGTTAGCCAATTATCGAATTTACGCACATTTCATTTCAATATTATTAGTGAATTAGTCTACTTTGATAGACTGCCACCTTAATCGATGTCTGACGCTATTCGAAGCATATTTCTGCAAAGAGGATACAATGATGACTACTATATTGACTATCTTTTTACTAAATCACGGCGATGTCATGTTTATTCACTGCCATTCGCCATGGAACGTATGCCTTGCGTCACGTCAACTATGTCTAATAATGTCTATGTGAATCGAATACACAGCTTCTGCGTTTGAACAAGATTTGTGTTTCACACAGACAGTTGTTACATGTGCCAGACCATTTTACAAGAACGAATTGGTTTGCGGCAAGTTGATATAATCAGCCTCATCTTCGAACTTCCGCAAGAACACATTGTTAGTATTTTGACTATGTTCAGTTAAAGTCCATGCACGTCTATAAATTATTTATGATTAGAGAACAGAACAAAAATACAGAACGAAAAATAAGCCGCTTAAAAAAGAGTTTCTACTTCTTTTTTTGAATATAAAGTCAATATTTGAAAAGAAGCTAACTATACATTTGTATGAAACCTTGAAAATAAGCGATAAAAAAACGGAAATGATCGTAATCGTTCTTGTATAATGTGGTTACTTGATTTTCACAGCCTCGTTGCTTTCTGTATTCGCTCAAGTGCCTTTTCGACTTTTCCCAATGCTTCTGCAGCAGCATTTGCAGCTCGCTTCGCCTCGACAGCCACCTTTTGGCTTTCTACCCTTGCCTTATGAACTTCATTTACTAATATCTCCTTTTCTTCTTTCTGAATATCCAGTTGCTGTCTTGTACTGCTTTGAACATCCTGCACTGCCTTCCGTGCTTGCTCGCATTTCGACCGAATTGTGTCGCATGTTTCCGCAATCTCATGCTTACAGAATTCTTCTTGTGCGGCTGCCTTCTGGTTGATTGTAGTCTCACAAATCTGGATTTTCTTCTGAAATTCTTGATATTGTTGTTCAAGTAGCTTTGAATATCTGCCACAAACAAGTGCAGCTTGTGTTGCGTCCTGTGCCGCTTGTTGTGCGATTTCACTAGCTCGACCTGATTGTGCTACGGCTATGCGAGAATCAGATCTAGCTGTTTCAGCCTCTTTTTCGATTTTCTTGCTATTTTCTTCCACATACTTTTCAATCTTGGTCAAACGATCCGCCACAAATTTTCCCAAATGTTGTTGCACATTTTGAAATTGTTCGTTCAAGTCTTGCCATGTTTTCTCATAGTGTCGATGCATTTCTTCGGCAAGTGCCTTTCGATTCGCTTCTGCTTCTATTTTAATTTGTTCATGAGCTGCATCGATCGATACTTGATAAAATCGTACTTTTCGTTCAATATCTTCACGTAGAACATCAATATCTAATTCTACTGTTTCTTGGAGCTTTTTCAGCTCTTCATCGACATGGTTCAAACTAGCAAAAATGTGTTGATGTTGAAGAGTTTCTGCCACTTGCTTCGTTATTTCTTTGTTGACGGAAGATTCGCCTGTAAACTGCTCAATTTGATCGGCATAGGTCTGAGCATGCAGCGCTATCTCTTCGAATTTTGTTAGGATATCTCCATGTGTATCGCGTTTGGCCAAGACCAACTTTCGTCCATCTACAATTGCGTCCAATACTCTTTTATCAGATGAGAATGGTTTGACATAGACGTAGCCAAATATTTCCAAGTCCACCAATTCATGGTCAGAAGAATTCGTTGGTTTCGAATACTGATAAATATGTCCATTACTACCAAGAACAGATACACAACCGATGAGATGACGCAATTGTGCTTGCTTTTCTTCGTCTTTGCCAAACGAATTGCGGATCTTTAAAGGAATTCTTTGTTGTCCAGCTGAAACCCCAACAGCATCGGTCACTTGGACAGTTGTTCCTTGATCCATAGGATTTTTCTTTGCAACAAACAACCAAAGTTGCGCCGGTAATGATTCTGTTGCAATAAGCTCAGTTTTACTTGCCTTAAGAGCGTCAATAATCCACGCGGTTACATATTCAGCAAACATAGTAATGGCCATCTCTTCGGAACCTTCTGGACGAGCATCGTAGAAGACATTTTTAATCCATTTTATTCTTGTATTGAACATATTTGTACCTTTAATCTTTCGAAATGGATCAATCAATTGAATTTGTTCTTTATAGTAGAGAGTGATTATCCCAGCTGTATCGGATGCGATTCGTTTCAGTTCTTCAATATTACCAAGAGTTGAAATAGCATGCCATTCTTGTCGCTGTACTTTTTCGTTCAGTTTTGACAGAATCGGATTTAGTGTTGATTTGACATTTGTTAGCAATAGATTCACTAAAAAAAGACAAATAGAAATTACGTTCATCGATCGTGATGTACGATGTATCTTACTGAAAGGAATGATTGTTTCTCTTTTCGCATAACCACCTTCTGCTGCGAAAACACTTGTGAACAACGCGTCCAAGCGATTTTCAATTGTTTGATGGAACAATGCTAAATTCGAATTATTTTTGATAAAATTTATTGTGTTTCGTCTCATTAATAGAGCTTCTTCGCGACGTTTCAATAAAAGTATGGAGCTGTCATACTCAGATAATTTTTTATTCAGAGCTTCTCTCTCTACCATATATTCTTTTCGTTGAATCGCTGTAATATTCGTTGACTTTTCTTGTGTATGAACGCGCTGTTCCAGATCTTCGATACTCGCCTCCAAAGAATCTTTGCTTTCCAAAACTTCTTCTAGTTTTTTATGTAGTTCAGCTATTCTTTTGTTTGTGTGCGCTGAATCTTTCTCGATTAATTTTTTCAAATCTTGTTCACTATTCACTTGTTGTAATTCTTGTGAATATTTGTTTACTCTCGACGTCAAATCAGAGAAAAGCTCTCTGTAAGTTGCGGGATCGGTTGGATCAAGGTCAACTCGACTATCGGCAATAATACCGCTGATACCACTTAGAAATCCGAGCAAAACTTTCTGGTAATATTCACTCAATCGGACATTACCGCCTGATCCTTCATTTGATATCGGTTTTGTGTTGTAATAAGATTCGAGAATACGGACAATTTCTAACTGATTAGCTCGCCTTGCGATTTTAAGCAATTCATGGCAAAGTTTTCTTTTCTCTTCTCTCGATTCGTACGGTTGCTTGACGAATTCTTGCATCACCTTGATCTCACCTTTTTCAGCTGCGTTTTTTAACACTTCTCTATCGAGTCGAATTTCTTCAGCATCCGCCGAAGATTCAGGTACACTTTCTCCGGTCAAGATTAATTGAGCGATTCTTGTGAATCCCAATTTTTGCGCTATTTGTAAAGCGGTCAATCCGGATTTGTTTGTTTGTTGTTTCGTATTTGGATCGTGTTTTACAAAATGTTCAACTGTAGCATAGTCGCCCCTTTCAGTTGCTAAAATGATTGGATAATCACCGTTGATATCAGCTTTGTTCGCAACGCTACCGCCAGCATGTAGCCAAGTGACAAGCTCGATACCGTGGTATTGTACAGCGTAATGTAATGGCGTACGCCCTTGTTCATCCTGATAGTTGAAATCCGCGCCAAACTGCGCAAATGTCGTTGCGCTTTGTCGATCATTGTTGAGAATTGCGGATAAAAATTGTGCATTCAGTTCTTGAAACAAATAGCTAGCGATCTGTTGACAGTTCTGTCTTTTTGCAAACTGAATTAATGACTTTGGTTCATCTTCATTGAAATGCAATATCGATGCACCACGTGAAACAAGGGCATGGACAACTGGAAAGGAATGGCTGTATTTAAGAGCATATAAAAGTGCAGTTGAACCGTGACAGTTCACAGAATTAATATTAGCACCAAGTCGTTGGCATAGAATCAAACAATTAAGATCGCCATTAGCAGCTGCAAAACGAAGTCGACTATCGATCAGACATTGATTGATAATAAATCTGATTTCTGGTTTGAATTGTTGAGATTCAGCTGGTGAAAGCACGATGTCTTTTGCAGCGAGCCATTTGGATGGCATTTTTGCACCACACCGACACAATAGTTGAATCATTTGAGTGTTTTGATGAGCCAATGCCTGTTGTAAATTATTCGTATCAACCATATCAACGCTTGCACCATCATGCACTAGTTTCTGAACAGATAGGAAACTATTTTCCATAATTGCTTTTGTACATCGCATTGACAATTGATATTTGAAATAGGAGGCTAATCTTGTATTCCCATTCTTTTTTGCGATGTGATACGGAGAATCAGATGACGAATAGTTGCTCACTACTTTCTGAATGTCTTCACTGTTTCTGAGAAGATAATCGACGATTTCAACAGTTTCGGACCCAGATGCATTACAAGCTTTGGAAAATAGTTCAGGAGTGAGTGTCGCTCCTGCAGCATGGTACGCCATGACAAGACCTGCATTGGAACTATCTATGGCCTGACTAATTTTGTTTTGAGCAGTCTGTTGGATGAGTTTGATAATTTCTTGGCAGTGATAAAGCAAACCTTGTAAACGTAAACGGTCCTGTGAGTCGAGTAAGGGTGAGTTTAATTGAGTAGCACATTTTGCTGCTGTCCTGTGCGCCACTTCGTATGGAGTACGATCTGGTTTGTTTCTATGACGGATATTAGCCCCGTCGCTCAATGCTTTTTGTGCGGCGAAAAGGTTTCCCTTTTTTGCGGCATCATGTAAAATATCGTTTGGATGATTAGCAAGAATATTTTCTCTGTAGGTTTTCCCCCGCTCGCCTTCAGCATCTTCATTTATCATGGAAATAGGATTGATGTTCACGGGTGATCCTAATTCACAAGTGTCGAGATCAAGCTCTGGCTGTTTTGTGTCGATCGACTGTCCAGCTGAACCATGAACAGGTGGACAAACCAATCGTTGGAGAAGTTGAACTAATTTTTTACCAATGATCTCTTCTTCTTTGTTTTTCGGCTGGCTGGCTTGCGCTATATTGAGTGGAGTTTGTTTCCATTGATTTAATGCTTGATGGTCAGCACCCCATTGCACAAGATATCGCACGACGAGTAGGTGGTGATTTTTTGTTGCTAAATGTAGCGGTGTCTGCTGATCTTTGTTAAATATGTTCAAATTTGTATTTGGTAAGCCGCGTAAATACTCAACAATCATCAGATGACCATTTTCAGCTGCAAGAGAAATCGGACAATCGCCATTGGAATTTTTCAGTGTATAATCTGCTTCGAAGTGTTCGATTACAAATTGAACAAATGATTTCGAACCCATTTGACAAACTAAATGCAATGCAGTCCATTCCGAATATGAATTCTCTTGATGTTTGTAGTTAATTTGAGCACCGTAGCGAATTAACTGTTCGATTTCAGCCATAAGAATTTTGTTTTGCTCTGCGTTTGTGCTGATGCGCATCACACAGCTCCATAAACGAAGGTTCAGTTCATTTTGCACTAGTTTTCCTGCTTCGGTACGATTCTGATCGTTGGCAAATTGTAAAAGGGTTTTGTTCAATTTGACATTATTAAACATATCCATACTTAGTTTTGATAATTTTAAAACAGCGGTCAACCGAGCATATGGATGTTTTTCTTTCATAATACATGTTTCGATCGGTCGGTATCCATCGATGTTTGTTGTTGATAGGTCAGCATGAAAATCATTAACGAAAGTAATGATCATATCTGGTGTGCCGTCATTCGATATCAAAATATGTAGAAATGAGTTCCCATTTTCCATTTTAGCATTGATGTTGACTCCTTTGTCTAACAGACGTCGGACTTCGTCGGTTGTCAAATGAGATCCTTTTGCTTCAATCAAATCCTTCAACTCTATGTTCACAGCTTGTTTCTGTAAAATAGCTACTAATGGAGGATTTCTTGATGTGGCATTCTCAGCAATTTGTAAAGGTGTGAGACCGTTCTTGTTTCGATGTGTCAATTGGCTGCCCAGTGACAGAAGCACATTGACGAGTTCCAAGTTATTCATGATAACCGCGTTAGAAAGAACAGTATTTCCATCTTCATCAACCGTTTCCAATCGAGCACCTCGACGAAAACATGCGACTATCTGTTCTTGATCAATTTCAGGCTTGGTACGAGGAATTTTACTTAAAATTATATCAAAATGTTGCTGCAGATAATCAACCACGTTCTTTGGACAGTTCGGATTGTCCTTAGCAATGCATACGCAGGTTTTCCCTTCAGTATCAACGGAGAACCAACTGTATTGTTTATCAATGTCATTCTCAACCAGGAATTTAGCGACATCAAGTCGAATAGTATTCGTCCGTTCATTTATCAAGTCACCCAATAAACCTAATGGTCTCTGTGGACCTCCTTGGTAGCAGCTTGCTTGTAATTGAACTAGCTGACGCATTTCGTCGAGATTACCATCATTTCCAGCGAACACATGCGCTCGGAGTTGGTCGGAAGCACCTTGTCGCAGAACTTCTACTAGATGTAAACAGCAGTCAGCTTCCCACGGTCGAGGTATTCGACATCGTTGTTCTTCAGCAATAATATAGTCAATCATTGATTGATTTTTAATGGGAGCTTTGATATCTGCCCCTTGCTGCAAAAGCTGTTGGGCTTTTCGGCACGCATCCTGGCTACGAGCTTTATCTCGCACGAGTTTGACCAGACGTCTTGTCGCTTCTGACATCCTAGGTAATGAAGTTTTTGCAATAAAATACGTTTGTTTGATCAAAGTGTGTGATTTTATTACGCTGTCGCCTACTCATAAAAGTAACATGTTAAGTTGGAGTTTACCAACTACGAATATTTTGCGCCGCCAAATAATTACACACCACTTGCAAATTTATTCAACGAAAAAATTGTGGATGAGCGCAATTTCTTTCTGCGCCATTTACATGTGCCTAGATCAATAAAACAAAATCACGGTCGTCCTTGATTTATGAAAGAAACATGCAATTATGCACATTGAAAAATCATCTTAAAACTAAATGTATTGAATGAATCAGCGACCATAAATACAATATTATTATATCGTATCAAAATATGTGAGTAAACGAATATTTTATTCAGGCACACTTCCTAGTTTTTTTTCTATGAAATTTCGATTCGTTATTAACCCTTAAAAGCCGGAGAGAGTTCCCTTGAAGTTGCGAAAAAATAAATCGCATAAATAGAGATCCTGGACCATCAATATGTAAACACCGTGATTGAAACGGCTGAATGAGACGTAGGATATCTTCGCTCCAGAATCCACTTTTTCGGGAGCCGATGCGCACGGGAGCGCGTTTCAGCACCTAGGATATCTTTGAGGGTGAGGGTATGGGTGAAAACTTTTGTGATTGGAAGCGACAGAACTCGTGGAGTTTGATCTAGAACCAGTGTTGAAATCGAGACAGATGGTAGCGAGACGAATCCGCCCGGGTTTTTCTACAAATTTGAGGTTTTCGGGGTGAAGGAAGGACTTTTCCTAAAAATTTATTTTTGGAACCGATAGAGCTCATTAAGTTGTACTTGGAACCGGTGTTAGTTCGGTTGGAACCTACACTTAAACGAATCGTCTCAAGAAAAAGTCGAATCCTGCTCAAAGATATTCTACGTGTTTCAACTATGATCACGCTGGGTCCAAGTAGACCTTGATGAGTTCTATCGATTCCAATCATAAAAGTGTTCACCCACACACAGCTATTTTTGGAAATTTGATCATTGGAATCGATAGAACGCATGGAGTTCTACTTGGAACTAGCGGGATCAGCGTTGAAACGCAAATCTGAACGAATAAATCCTGAAAAAAAAACTCGAATCAAGCGGTAAGATATCTTACGTCATCATGAGAACCTTCGTTTCAGATTTTGTTACCGAACATATCATTTTATCAAATGGGCACCGAAGATGATCAAGCTACAGAAATACTTTGGGAGCGCTACTCGGATGTACTTGATGAACCTAGAAGAATGTTACCACCTCTTGCTGGCTTCGCCAAAATGCCCTTGGTTTCTATTGAAGAAGCTGTTAAGCCGCTCGTTTCACATGTATTTGGTATTGAGATTAAAGCAACTCAAGTGAAAGAAGAATGTAAAAGTCTATCAAACGATAAACTTTCTATCGACGAAATGGCCTCAATCAGATTGTATACGAAGGAATGGTCTCCACGTGATCGATGTCTATATGTTGTTCTGAATAAGAGTCTACGTGCCGAAGATCGTCAAGAAATGAAACCGTGGTTTCTTTATTTGCGATTGATTATCGGCGCATTTTCAAAAATTCCATCGACTCGATGCCATGTTTTCCGAGGAGTGAAATTGGACTTGTCGCAGCAGTATCTTAACATATCCGGGTTGGTTTGGTGGAGCTTCAGTTCATGCACAAGTGTATTGGACGTACTCAAAAAGCCTTGTTTTTGTGGTACAAAAGGCGAAAGAACTATCTTTGACATTATTTGTCATTCTGGCAAAGATATTAGTCGGTATTCTACATATCCAACTGAAAGTGAAATTGTGCTTCTTCCTGGCACAGAGTTCAAAGTAATTGGATGCCTAAATCTTGGCCATGGACTTCATATGATTAAACTGCAACAAATCGAGCCACAATTTCCTTGGCTCGAGAAAATACCTGGCGAAATTTCTACAAGCGCTGAATTCGATATTTCAGAAATTGATGTAGATTTTCCACCTGTACCACCCATCTCACCTAATAAGGATGCAGACAATCGAAAAGAATCTGTCGAGCGTTTAATCCAAGGCTATCCACCCCTTGGCCGAATAGTCTTAAGCGGTAGACAATTAAGCAATCAAGACATGGCCGTTGTTGCTGAACAAGCAATTACTAAGAAGAAATGCACAAGCCTTTCTTTGCAGCATAATGAAATAAGATCGGATGGCATGACAGTCCTAGCGAAAGCAATTCATGACAGTATTACACTAGAAGAAATAGATTTTAGTCATACGAATATGACAGACGCTGTATTATATGAATTGGCGAAGGAGCTATCTACTCACGAAACGATCAGTATTATTGCTTGGACATTTTGTAAAATAGGAATAAAGAAAGTAAGTGGTATGTAGCTTGGTTCACAGTTACCGGTATCTCACATATTCTTATATAGCTGAAGTGAAGCTGAGAGAAGACTAGACCCCCATACGTACACCGTAGCGATATTGAATCTAATGACAGTATCTGATTTTGTAGAAGGTCGACAAGGCGCCTATCAAGACACTTAACCTTAGTAATAATAAGGTCATGGATGAAGGTGCGAGATACTTGGTAGACGTAATCAAAGGCAAACCATCATTGACTGTCCTGCGTTTGGATGGCAATCTCATAACTGATGTGGGTGTGAAATTATTAGCTGAAGCGCTGTCGAATCCGAGAGCATGTCTGAAAAAACTTTACCTGGACAACAATAAACAAATAACTGACGCCAGTGTGGATGTTCTCATCAGTATGTTCAAGGCAAATGAGTCTCTGGATACCCTCTGGTTGACCGAATGTAAACTAACTCAGCATGGACGACAGTCTCTTCGACAAGAAGCCGCATCAAAGCGAAATTTCCGTTTGAATATCGAAAACTTCAACGAAGTCTAAAACTTTGACATGTACCATTCGTTTTCAGTTAAATATCTACCATTTTTATTAAGTAAATCTTACCTATACAAACCTCTGAACATATAACAGTAAAGGTTTCTCATACATTCAAAAAGGTATTCTGATCATCGAAAATATTATTCTCTTCTCTTTTTTTTAGATCTCTACTAATTCTGTTCAATTATCATTCGAAGAAAATGAACCCATTCGATGCGCAAACGCATGCTGCCCGTTTGTCTGACATGGTGGAAGAGCCTGGAAGAATACTTTTACCAATCGAGGGTTATGAGATAATGCCGCTAGTCTCTCTTAAAGAGTCTGTCCAGCCTCTGAAGTCACTCATACCTAACATCGAACAGCTGATTAGAGTAGCTAATAGCAATGTTAAAACTACACTCGATAGTCTATCACCTGACGAGTCAGCTGCCATTGTACTTTACTCTATGCCATGTTCGCCTATCGAGGATGCATTCTACTTTATTCTCAACAAAACATTGCGTATGAAGAATCGAGACGCATTACGACCATGGTTTCTATATCTGAAACTCTTGATTACAGCCCTTTCAAAACTACCGTCGAAAAGGCGTGTTGTTCACCGTGGAGTTACGAGAGACCTTAGTGCTGATTATCACCAAGGTGAAACGATCGTTTGGTGGGGATTTTCTTCTTGCACGTCATGTTTGAAGGTGCTTCAAAACCAAATATTTTTGGGTGAGACCGGGAAACGAACGTTATTTACAATCGATTGCCATTCTGCTAAAGATGTTCAGCAACATTCCATGATAGCCAAGGAAAGTGAGATCTTATTACTTCCAGCTCGCCAATTTAAAGTTATTGCAATCATGGATGTTGGCAATGATTTGCATATCATACATTTGGAAGAGGTTGATCCACCATCTCCTTTGCTCGCACTATTGCCCATGGGTGGTGTATTACCGAATTCCATTCCCTATTGCAATGACCAACTTGAACAAATTATACGTAATTGCCAATCACGTCAAATGGATCTAAGTGGTCAACAGCTGAGTGATCAAGATATGAGAATTGTTGTTAAGCAGGGTATTGTTGGCAAACAGTGCGCAACTCTTGATTTGATGAAGAGCGATCTCACACTAGGCGCTATCACGATACTCAAAAATGTAATGCGTAAGAAAACATTCTTGGAAGTACTGAATATTTCTTATTGTGCTATTGCCGATTCGGGTGCGTGTTTGTTGGCATCGGTAGTCAATTCTTCAAATCTTAAACGACTTGATTTGGAAGCGAACGATATATCTGATAGTGGCGTAGAACATTTGGCAAAAGCACTTGAAACAAATACGACATTACTTGACTTATCCTTAAAACTAAATCGGATCAGTAGTCAGGGTGTGAACAAATTAACCAAAGCGCTTGTCGGTGACAGCACGTGCCTCGAGATTTTAAATCTAGGTGCAAACGTTGATGTCAATGATGAGAGTGTTGATTCAATAGTCGCCCTGATAGAGCGTAATCGTTCACTGAAGAAGCTTGACTTGCGGCACTGTAGTCTGTCAACACTTGGCAACGACAAACTTCGCCCAATAGCAAAAGCAAGAAAAGGATTCATTCTATGGCTGTCTAGATGAGAAACACTGTTCTCGTGTAAATGTGTATGCACAAATAGTAGTAGAAGCATAGAACATCTATCATCCTAATATGTGTTTATTTGACAATGGTTAAGAATTCACAACGAGTGTTGGTTTTACGTAATAAAAATCAGCCGGGCTCGATTATACGATCGAGCAGTCAATGAAGTTGACAGCTATCTTTCGCTTGAATGTCTGGAATGGAATAATGTGTCGCTTTGTGTACTTCAACAATGACAGTATTTCGTATATCTTCCGCATTCATTTCTTTAATTTCAGCCGTTGTACGATATCTGTGAATTAGTGGCGTAACCAGGATTCAATGGATGGTTGGGCGCCGCCCTAAAGATTTTTCACGTTTTTTTTACATAGCATATGATATTCTTGTCTCATAGAATAAACATATAATATGTATTTACAACGCGAAAAAGCTCTCGGCACCATCTCTGGTGGAATTCAAAATGTGAAACACAATTCATTTGGTCTGCTCGTTGTGATACAGTTTCATAGTTAGTCTACTTACCTCTCGATCACTTGTACGAAGGATCGGATGAGTTTGGGGCTCGCCAGGGTGACGTTGTTTTGTCCAAACACTGAAGCCATTTCCTAACGGAAAACCTGTCCTGGTCTTGTTTAAATTCCTTTGTTTGCCAATCTGTCAGAGATATTTTTCACATACCTGCTGAATGAGATATCACTAATAACATTGTATACTGATACGCTTTTTCAATTAAAACGTGATGTTCCAGTGTACATTTTAGTATTTTCGTCAACTAGGAAACGTCCCACAGGATCGTGTCGATATGATTAAGGTACTGTTTTGAATTCCAATCCCGACGAGGCTGGAATCGATTCGAAAGGAAAATAGAGATCGGTACAATCCTGTCAAATCTTAGTGCTACTGCTGACTAGGTTTTTAAGCGACAATTTGTAAGGAGATTATTATATCTGTCGGTAGCGCCTTTGAACAAAGATGATAAGTCCAAATTTCCACTCATAAATATTTCAACATCCTTTCAGATCATGTTTCACAAAGAGCAGTTTTGTGAATTTTTGGGATTTTTTCTTGATTGTTCTAGTTTTTCGAATCATAAATGGCAAAAAAAATACGGTGATGACCCATATATTCTAAAGGATCCTGAAAAAACAAAAGATTCCTAAAAAATTCATACATATCCTGGAAAATTTGAGAAACTGGCAAAAATTAGGAAGTGCTGAAGACTCCCAAGATTCGCTTTTCTCCTTAGTTAAAACATATTATGTAGTCAACTCGGTGATTTCTGATTAGCGCTAACCACGAAGAGCACATTTAGTTTATGAGTACTTGGAGTAAAAACTAGATAGTGTT